AAAATATGTAGCAAAAGATAAGAGTACATTCAGAAAGAAGAAAAGGCCACACCAGTTAAATGAAGTGGAGGAGCTAAACAGCAGCTCCTGATCAGAATGGGAAAAAATAAAAAGAAGCAATGAAATATTTCACAAAAGTGGCAGGCATTTATCCAGAAATCCAGCAGCCACCCACAGATTAGGAGTTCTCAAGTTCTCTCACTTTGATTTAGGTTGGGAAGTACAAGTCGAGAGGAATAAAGTAAGATAAACGTATTAACATGTTTATAGTCATTTGAAAGTGGATCGTAAAATAGGCTGTCATTTTATTTGTGGTAGTCATTCATGGGGGAGATTTCAACAGAGCTCCAGGGAAGAGGAGATCCATCCAATGCTTCTGACAAGCTTCCTTTCAGGAGGATCCAATTGGGGTCACTTTTCCAGTTAAATGTAGGTTTCTTGTGAAATGTTTAACTCCTTCCGTTTATAAGCTACTTCGACAAGCAAATTCTGAGGGTGAACATGGTGTCTCCATAGAACGGGTGTCAAACTCAATTTCATTGAGGGCCGCATCAGGGTTGTGTTGGACTTTCAGGGGCCGGAGTGGGCATGACCAACTCGATGTCACTCTTATTTGGGGTGCCTGTTGGTGCCAGCAAAAACAGATTCCTGAGCTCCATTTTCAGCTGCCATTGCCTTCTGCAACCCTCTGCCAGCGAAAATGGAGCTCGGGAGAGCCGCACACAGCCTTCATGAGTTCCGTTTTTGCTGACAGAAGCACTGCAGGCCAGTCCTTCACGGTTTCCAGGGCAACCCCACGAGCCGGATCCGTCCCGCGGGCCTTAAGTTTGTCACCCCTGCCATTGAATTGCCCAATTAGTTTCACTCATTCAGTTTTCAAGATTTTTCTGGGAATGCAAATGAAGGGTTGGAAGAATTGAATATTTCTTAATATTTTAAAAAAAGTCTTTTGAAAACCATTTAAAAAATAAAAGCTATGAAGTGAAACATAATAATTGTATAAGAACTCATTCAGAAATATGCCATATCTTAAAAATAAATCACATGAAGGACAGATTTCCTGTGTAAAAAATGCGTAAGTCAAATGTTTATAGTCATAAGTGGGAAGAGATGGGTTCGAGGAAGGATGAAAAAAATAATAGTAATACAGTCTTACTAAATAATTTGAGTGTTGTGGGGATTAGTTGTTTAGCAGAGTGATGGCACTTGGGAAGAAAAACTCCTTGTGTCTAGTTGTTCTGGTGTGCAGTGCCCTATAGCGTTTTGAGGGTAGAAATTTAAACAATTTATGTCTAGGATGTGAGGGGTCTGTAGATATTTTCATAGCCCTCTTTTTGACTTGTGCAGTATACAAGTCCTCAATGGAATCAGGCTTAGATGCATCCAAGTTGTAGAATGACGCTCCTTGGGGCATCCCACTAGCCTGGAGTAAAATACTTTTAATCTAATTTTATAGGAATATTCTGAAACAAGAAGAGTAATTTTGGTAGGAAAATTGAATAAAATGACATTGGACTACATTTGGTAAGGGAAGAAACCAAGGATTAAATTTAAACTTATACAAGAAACTAAAGAAAGAGGAGGGTTTGGCATATCAGATTGGGAGTTCTATCATGAAGCAGCAACACTCACCTGGGTAACAGAATGGATAAATTTAAAAAATTGAAGATTGCTAACGTTAGAGGGCCACGACTTACATCTAGGATGATACACATTTTTGTGGTACGGGAAACAAGTAGCACACCAATATTTTCAAAGACATTTTATAAGATAGGCATTGGAGTCATGGAATAAATTCAAACAGCAGAACTACAGGAAGGTTCCGAGTTGGTTATCCAAATTAGAAGCATTAGTGCACCCAAATCTTATCAATCAAGGAAAATATGTCACCTATAAGGATATAATAAATGAAGAAGGGGATATGAAATCGAGGCAAGAATTAAAAGAACAAGGGGTAGAATTGGAGTGGTGGTCCTATTTACAAATCCAGTCACGTTACTTGAAAGACATGAAAGAGCGGGGTATTAATAGGGAATCAATCTTTTTGGGGACGAATGATAAATTGGTAAAGAAAATTTATAAATTCTTATTGGATTATAAAATGGAGGAAGAGCAGGTCAAGAATGATCTTTGCCCAAAACTGGAAAAATAAGGAAATCCCCGGAGAAGATGAAGTGATTAAAAAAATTTTGACACGCATGGAAATGGATAGATTAATGCTGGAATTGAAAAATAAAGACGAGTCAGAATACTACGAGATATGGAACAGATTTTATCAATGGTTGGAACGTAAAGGAGGGACGAAAAATATGAACTGACCAGAATTCATAGAATGGAGAATTAAGGTTATGTATGTAATTATAATAGAATGAAAGTAGATAAGACAAAGGTATATGTAATATAAAGGAATGATGTCTTTATATATGTAAATACTGAATAGACCAAATTTATATAAGTAGTAAGCAGGGGTGAAATCCAGCAGGTTCTGACAGGTTCTGGAGAGCCGGTAGCAGAAATTTTGAGTAGTTTGGAGGGTAGTGGAAATTTTGAGTAGTTCATAGGACTGGCAAATACCACCTCTGGCTGGTCACAGAGTTGGGTAGGAATGGAGATTTTGCAATATCCTTCCCCCAGGAGTGGGGAGGGAATGGGGATTTTGCAGTATCCTTCCCCTGCCATGCCCACCAAGCCATACCACGTCACGGAACCGGTAGTAAAAATATTTGAGTTTCACCACTGGTAGTAAGCTATATATGATACTTATTTTTTATTTTAGTATGTATGGCAAAGATAATGCCAGGATGGTTACACCGTGTCCAATATTTTACTGTTTAATAAAATGTTTCAAACAAAACAAAACAAAACCAAAAAGACAAAAAAAACCAAAACAATTTAAGCAGTCTTTCTTCATATTCATCATTGTTTGTTGTATGCTAACCACCTTTTCATCTGTTTTAAGTAACTATTGCTCCATCCTTTGTTGCTGTTTTTCCATTCTTTGAAGTGTTTGTAGAATCATTTATGATGTCTCTATCTCTTTCTCTTTCTCTTGCTGTTACATTGTCTGTATGGAGTGTTGATCTCCAGGTGATGATGAGGATGGTGTAGTCGCTGCAGCTCCCACCGTCGCTACTTTTTTGATCATTTTAGAGTCGGCTAAATTCACTTTGAATTCAAAAAATATTCAAAAAGTCCCTTAGGGTAGAAAAAGGGGGAAAAATGAGAGAGAGAGAAAAAAGGAAGAAAATAATAATAATAATAATAACAACAACAACAACAACAATTTCTCCAATTCTTCAGGTTCTTCCAAAAACTCTAATCCAAAGGAAGAGAAAAGAAAAAAAGGAAGAGACAAAAAATTAAAATGCTCCTCTAGGTAAAAAGCCAAAAATTTGAAAAAAGATAAAAAAATAAAAAGATTAAAAAAAATACAAAATACAAAAATTGAAATAAAAATAAAAATTAAAATTAAAAATATTTTTTTTAAAAAATAATAACTTTTCAGGCTCTTGAATGCCTTAATCCAATATTTGTGTATAAATCAGAAAAATGGGAGAAGAGAAAAAACAGCAACAAACAGACCAAAAAAGAAATTCGTTCTTCAAATCCTTTATATCCAGAGAACCTACAGGGAGTGATTTTTCCTTTTGCCTCTTTCCAAGCCACACATCTCACTGGGGTTTAAGTAGTTACTCAATGCAAAAAAAAATAATGATGATGATGATAAAGAAATTAAAATGAATTCAGAGCCTTCCAGTATATTCCCAGGCTTTGAAAGCTTAAATAGAAGAGCACCTGTGTAAACAACACTCATTATCTCTTCAGCCTGTATTTTGTTTTGTCTACAATGTTTCCTTTCTTCTGCAACAAAATTTCTCTTCCAGTGGGTGGCAGCACTACACACTCCCCTAGTTCTCCTAGGAAGAAAGAGAGGGAAAAAAAAAGGAAAGAGAGAGAGAGAAAAAAAACTTTCTTTTAAATAGTCCAAATAGTCCAAAAATAAGAGAAATGGTACCAATCCAGATGTACTATCTCAGCAAATATTATAAACCAAAATCCACAAATTCCAAAAGTTTCAAAAAAATGTTCCAATACTGCTTCCCTGCTTTCAATCCAGTCCAGTTATCCAAAACTGAAATAAGACAATCAAGCAATTTCGGGTCTTTTAAAGTATATACTTGGGAAAAGTCAAATCAATCCAAAAATAGGATCGCCGCTCCTCTTCATTTACTGCCCATTACAGTTCCATGCATTAATTAGGGTGTTCTTAGTAGAAAAAAAGAGTGAAAGTTTCTCACCGTTCTAATCACTGTTCCGATCTTCCTTCCTGAAGTTGCCACAGCCTCCGCAGCCTTGGCTGCTGCCCTGCTGCTGGAAAAAGGGCTTTCCTGGCTCAACCAGGGACTTAGTGATGTCCCTGGTAGCTTCAGGACGTGCCCTCCACTGCCACAGTCAAAACGAGACTGTGTGGTCCGGTTCGGACCGTCCAGCAGCGGGGTTTCTCGGCGGAGTTTCAGGAGCCCTAAAAACTCCGTGCGTCTTGCCGCAGCGCCAACTTCTGGTCTCAAAGGATGCCCATTGTCCCCACTTTTGTTTATATTGACATTGGAAGTCTTAAATAGAAATATTAGAGAAGAAAAGGAGATAAAAGGTATGAAAATTCGGAAAGAGGAATACAAGCTACAAGCTTTTGCAGACAATTTGGTTTTTATTATGGAAGAACCTTGAACATCAATAAATAAACTGTTAGAAAGAATTGGAGAGTTCGGAGAAGTGGCTGGACTAAAAATTAATAAAGAAAAGACAAAGATAATGACCAAAAATATGTTGAAAAAGCAAAGAGAAGAATTGATGGAGATTTCAAATATACAGGTGTTGGAAGGGAGGAGAGGTTTCCCCTCCCTGAGGATTCGAATTTCCCGGCTGGGAGAGCGTTCCGGCGCTGCGCAAAACTGCGAGAGAAGCAAGCTGCATGAAAGCAAGTTTTCTTTATTTTTCAGGAAGTCGGATTGAGCGAAGTCGCAGACCAGCGTTCCTGGGTGAGCTGACATCGTTACAAGGTAAGCATACATTTTTATACTTTTCTGTACAAAGGAATTTCTTTGTTTCTTTTGTTACTTTTGTGTGTCTGTCTTTTGTGTGTGAGTTCGTGGATCACCCTGTGTTTTCTTATTATACTTGAGATTGGGTGGTGTCTTAGTTATTTGATTTCGCGTCCTTTTGTTTCCTTCTGCTTTCATTATTTTTCCTTTTGCCCTAAGGTGATCATGTTGTTATCAATTAAGCCCTTACTCCCAGCTTGGCTCTTATCAGATTGCTGGGGCTATTGATTAAATCTTTTCCTTTTGCTAATCCTCTGCCATTCCTTTTGTTTTGCTCTCCTAGTTTCTGCTGCCTTGATAGTTCCTTTCCTGGCATGTCCTGAGTCTTTTGTGTGTGCCATTTCCCTGGCTCCTCTTTTGTTCCTAAATGGCCCTGATGTTCATGTGTTCTATTTTGGGAAGGTCATTTTCCTATGCCTGTGGCCTTTGCCTCTCTGAGTTGATTATGTCCTACTGGTCCTGGCACTGTCTTGGTGGTGTTCCCCTCCTACACAGGTTACGAATAAGGTAAAATATTTGGGGATACAATTGACAGCAAGGTGCAGTTCTCTTAAGGAAAATAATTATAACAAGGTTAAACGACAGATAGGACAAGATTTGGAAAAATGGGGAAATCTGCAACTATCTTTGATTGGGAGAATTGCAACCATTAAGATGAATATTTTGCCTAGAATGTTTCAGACAATTCCGATAAAGTTGGATAAGGATTTTTTTACAGATTTGAATAAAATGATATTGAAATATATTTGGCAAGGGAAAAAGGCAAGAATAAAAATTAAGTTGTTACAAGATGCTAAAGCAAAGGGTGGTTTCGGTTTACCTAATTTTGAATTATATTATCAAGCAGCTAGTTTAATGTGGATTAAAGAATGGGTAACATTGAAAAATACTAGGCTATTGAATTTGGAGGGACATGATTTGTTGATGGGGTAGCATGCTTTTTTATGGTACAAAGGAACTAAAATACAGGGGTATTTTAGAAGACATCAGATACATGTCGCTTTGCTTTTGAATTGGGAGAGGATCAAAAAATATCATTATTTGAAGATTCCAGTCTGGGTATCTACAACTGAAGCTTTCTCATACCCAGTAATATTCAAAAGGGAACAAATTGTTAGATATAGTGAATTATTGGATGAAAAGGGTGAACTTAAATTAAAGCAAGACTTAGAAGATCAGGGATTTAAGATGGATTGGTTTTCATATATGCAAATATTTTCAAGATATCGAGAAGATCTCAAACAAGAAGGTTTTTATAGAGTTTTGATTACCTTAGATAAGATATTGATGGGCTCTGATGATCATGTAATTAAAAAGTTATATGGACACTTGCTAGAGGCAAAATTGGAAGAAGAACAAGTTAAAGAGTCAATGATAGCATGGGGAAAAAAATTTAGTTATGGTAGTACAAAAATTGTGGTCACATAATTATAAAATGAAAATGTCTACAGCATATAAAGAGAATTTGTATAAGATGTTTTACAGGTGGCATTTACCCCCCCCCCCCGACGAGGATAGCCAGAATGTTCAAGAACAAATCGGAGAAGTGCTGGAAGTGTCATCAGACCCCAGGATCTTATTACCATATGTGGTGGACATGCGTAGAAGCAAAAAGATTTTGGACTAAGATACACACATGGTTGGAAAAAATGATAGACATATTGATTTTAAACCAGAGATATTTTTATTAGGGATCTTACCAGAGACATTTAACAAAAAATTACAATATTTAATTGTGAATATATTAACAGCGGCTAGAATCGTATTTGCAAAAAACTGGAAAGGAGAGAAGATGATTACTGATGAATAAATTATTAAGAAAATGTTGGATTGTGCCGAAATGAGTAGATTGACATTTGAAATAAGAGAACAGGAAGACAAACAATATTATTTGATATGGGAGCTATTTTATCAATGGATAGATAATAAAGTATGGAGATGAGATATATGAAATGAAATTTGGATAAAATGTTTAAGCACTTGGTTTTTTTTCCTTGTTTTTTGTTTTCTTTCTTAGAGGTAAGAATATTTGTCATATAATGAGAATTTGAAAATTTTGAGAGCATGAAATGATTTTCACCGATCGAAATACTGTCTGTAAGAGTTTGGAAGAATGATGTTTTTTATGTTGTTTCTGTTTAAAAAATAAAATAAAAAATTATAATAACCCCCCCCCCCCAAAACAACAATTTGGAGGTGAAAGTGTTTTGTTTGTGAATAGTCTTTTTTTTTTTTATTAGGCACAAAATCTGCTGGGAGCAATTAAGAAAGACGGGGGCTGCTTTCTGGCTCTAAGAACATATTTCTTCATTTCTCCTTTGGGGAAATACAATATTTTACCTCTTTTAATATTCTCGAAGTGCGGGGGGGGGGAAGGTTTCTCACAGCAGAAATAGAGACTAAAAACGTAATGGTAGATTGTAGGAAAAGGAGGAATCCTTCCAATATCTCAGTGGTTGCCACAAAAAAGAGGGAGTGAAACTCTTGTCCAAAGCACCTGAGGGCAGAATGGGTGGAAACTGATCAAGGAGAGAAGCAACTTAGAACTCAGGAGAAATTTCCTGACACTTAGAACAACTAAGCAGTGGAATGAATTGCCTTCAAAAGTTGTGAATGCTCCAACACTGGAAATTTATAAGAAGATGTTGGATAACCATTGAAGTAGTGTAGGGTTTCCTGCCTGGGCAGGGGGTTGGACTAGAAGACCTCCAAGGTCCCTTCCAACTCTGTTATTCTATTCTATTCTAAAAAAACAAGGACAGTTCTTGAGTGTCACCACATGAATACAGACAAGAGAGAGAGAGGACAAACTGGTTTGGAGGAACCCCCAACAGTTATTGTTTACATATCTATTTAATAATATATAACGTATATAAATAAATTTTCTGGCGGGAAGTAACGAGAAATCCCAGGTGCTCAGAACCAGCAATCAAAGGAGATTCCATTCAAAGGCGCTTTGCTCTATTCCAGCCCTGCTCGACCTTCACCGGCTCTATTCCCTTCACCCGCGGATCCCCTCCCACTCACCACGTGACTTCGACCTGTCAGAGTCGAGAAGAACAGGGCATGCGCAGAAGACCTTTGCCAGGTCCGGATGTTGAACAGAGACAGGAGAGGCGGGACTTGCCTTATGAGACGCTCTAGTCTAGTCAAGAGCAATAAAGCATGAGGGATAATAGACTTGTGCCTCTCTAGGAAGCAATCATATCTCACGGAGTCTGTGGGAGGCCTGTCGAGCGCGGGAAGTTTTGGCGGGAGCGGCTCGCAACTGCTCTTCTCGGCCTCGGAAGCCCTGAGGGAACGGAGCCCCCCTTCTCCCCACCCCCGAACCCGGGAAAGGGGCGGGGCGACTGGGTGGGGGAGGGTCGGCCGTGACCGAAGGCAACCTCGGAGATAGTTTCCCCCGTCGGGGCTGCGCTGAAACCGGAGACCGAATGGAGGCTCGGAGGTCTCCCCTTCAGGCGGGGAGCGGCCTCCCAGAGGAGCTCCGCAGCCCCGAGGCTGAGCGCTGGCGCTTCCGCAGCTGCGTCTCCCGGGAGGCGGAGGGGCCCCGGGCGCTTTGCAGCCGCCTGTACGGGCTGTGCCGGGGGTGGCTGCGGCCCGAGCGGAGCAGCAAAGCCGAGATGCTGGACCTGGTGGTGCTGGAGCAGCTGCTGGCCCTGCTGCCCCCGGAGCTGGCGGGCTGGCTGAGGGAGTGCGGGGCGGAGAGCTGCGCCCAGGCGGTGGCCCTGGCCGAAGGCTGCCTCCTCGGCCCCGCAGCCGCCCAGGAAAAGCTGGCAAAGGGCCGGCAGGTGAGGCTCTTTCATCCTCTTCGACGCCTCTTGTTTCTCTTCCTTGCAGATAATCACAGAGAAAATAGATCCAGACAACACGTGTTGGGATTATAGATAAAAAGCTATGTGGGAGTAACCCTTGTAGGACCGTATTCCCACATTCTATTTTCCCACGTAGTTTGTCATGGACTGGACAGCCATCATGCAAAAGATAACCTCAATTCCCCCACGGAGCTGGAGGGGAGAAATGTCATAAAAACCCTTCCTAGTAGTCCAGTGAGTACAATGAGGGAACGAAAAAGATTTCATTAATGTGGTGTTACAGACAGAGCTAATATTCTTTGTCAGGCTTCTTCTCTACCTGGAAGGGCTGATAAATGTTTCCTCCAGTCAGGATTCCCAAACCAGGGACTCAGACTGATTCCAAGAGGGCTCCTCTATCTAGTAATAGCTATTGTTCAAAATCCCACCCACCCACAAAAACATGTTTCTATTTCAAATTGGATCACTTCTCTAGTCCTTTTAGAAATTTTAATCATTAGCTTTGAACTGAATGTGAATGTAACGTCTTAAGTGAATTCCCTTTCTCATGTTAACCAAGGCAATGTTGGAAACTTATTTGTCCCAAAATTGGTTTTTCCAGAGACAACTGGAAGATGTTTCAGAAAGATTGAATGATTATTAGATACTTAACACAAGTCTTGTATTTCCTGGATTTTCAGTATAGAGCTGGAAGGGACTTGAGGGTCTTCTTCTCTAACCCCCTTATTCAGGCAGAAAGCCATATATATACCATTTCAGACAAATAGCTGTCCTGTCTCTCAACATCTTTGTAACATTACCAACCCGGAAAGCAGTATCCCAGGTTAGTATTAGTATTAATACTAATACTTAGTATTAATATAATACTTAGTATTCCTTACTAAGGTTTTATAAAGCGGTACTAATAGTTCATGTAATTTTGATTGTATGCTTCTGTTTATACAACCAAGGATTGTATTAGCTGTTTTAGCTGCTGCTGCACACTGCTAGATTATATTTAAGAGATCATCCACTAGGACTCTACAGTCTCTGTGACAGTTACTGATTTTTTGAGCCAGGTTTTGCGTAATCAGTACTTGTACCTATGGCTTTTCCTGCCTTGCTTTAACTTTCATTTTCTGGATAGGGGGCATTGTTCAAGTCTGATAAGATCCTTTTGTTTCCTGAGCTTATCTTCTGGGGAGTTGGCTATTCCTGCCAGCTTAATGTCATCTAAAAATTTGATGTGTTCCCCTTCTATTCCCTCATCTAAATCATTTATGAAGATATTGGTACTGGGCCTAAGATGGATTTGTGATACCCCACTGTAGACTTTTCACTGCAGACAATTCTAAACAGACTTTCCTTTATACATAGGATAAAGTTTGAAAAAAATGGTCCCTGAAGAAAAAAAACAAACAAAAAAGTATACTTTATTTATATTCCTTTACCATGATCATGGCGCTCTCTCTACCAGATGATAGAAGGAGAGAGCCATTATATAGGAGCCTGGATAGCTCAGCAGACTAATGCATTGTAATTTAATTCCAGCTGTCTGCAATTAGTAAGTTCGAATCTTGCCAGGCTCAAGGTTGACTCAGCCTTCCATCCTTTCTAAGGTAGGTAAATTGAAGACCCAGTTTATGGGGGCAATAAGCTGACTTTGTATAAATATACAAAAGTATGAAGGCTATTGCTTAGCACATTGTAAGCTGCCCTGAGTCTCCGGAGAAGGGCGGCATATAAATCAAATTATATATATATATATATAGAGAGAGAGAGAGAGAGAGACAGAGAGACAGAGAGAGAGAGACATAAATTCTTGGCCATTCTTGTGGCATTTTTGCTGCTTTTTCATGAAACTTTAGAGCTAAAGTAGCTAATAAGCAATAAACAAAAATAACACCTTCTTAGAAGACCATTTCGAGCAGTGCTCCAGCAACAACAAAGCAGAGGCTCCCCCGCTTCAATATCGTCACTGTCAAGATAGGTAGCCTTTGATTTACAATCATTTTGAGCACTGTGAATGGGTGACCGTACTTTATTATGCTTGGTGGTTCTGTGCAGTTAAGGAGCCTGAAACACTACCAGGAACATACAACTAATTTTTAGCAAAAGGGAGCATTTAAAGGAGCAACAGAATTTTCAGTCTATTACCGGGAAACTACAGCTAGTTTTATAAAAAAGGGGGAGCATTTAAAGGAGAAGCAGCTTTTAAATCAAGAGCTTAAGTACAGGAATACCAGGCTAGCAATAGCTTTGGACCGGAATATCTGCTCCCTATTTTTTTTCAACTGGGTGCGAGGTTCTTCCCATCGTGGTGACCATCGTAATTGGCGGCTGTCTTTGTGTCCAGCGTGTTGGAACCGGATGTCCCGGACTTCTCTTTCTCTCTGGAACGGTCCAGCTCCCTGGGGTGATGACTCCTGCCGCCATGAGAGGGTGGCTATGGACATTTCTAGCTGAACTTAGCCGTGCTGTGATGAGAGGGCAGCAACGACCGCGGGTTCTCGCCTCAGGTGATTGCCCAGCGAACACAGGAACTCTGCCGCGGTGAGAGGGCGGCAGTGATTACCAACTTATGTCGCTCCTGGTTGCTGTGAAAGGACACCTGGGAGTGGATATTCCTGACTACTGGGCTGTATATCTGGACCTTAAACTGTTGTTATCCTTATTTGCCATTGTTGCACCCATCTCCATGGTTGGTGATGGCTGTACGAACTTATGCAAGCATGGAACTATATGCCCTGAGGAATGCCCCCCATTCCTGGATATTGATCTGTCTCCGTCCACACACACACACAAACACAGCCAGCCGAGGGTTAAGGAAACACTTTGGCACACACCCAGGTCTTTATCTCCAACTTGGCAGCGATTTACACACCGTCTGCCAAGTGTGTTTATTTCCACAAAACAGAAAGATAAGATACTTAGCGTACAAAAGTCCAATCAGAATAATATTCCTCTCAGCAGTTTCCGGATGAGGCTTTAGTGACTATCCAAGGTTTACTTTTGTTCGTCACAGGGATCACTGGCCACCACCCTCTATTATATAGTCTCTGGGGTGTGGTCCAGTGACTCAGTTCTAATCCCTAGCACGCCTCCTGAGCTGCTGCAATCGTTTATCACGCCTTCGGAGGCGTGCGTCCAGGAATGATGTCTCTCCTTCACTCTCATCCGAGACACCTGTCTCTCGGCTAATCTCCTCTCCCTCGGCCGGCACCTGAGACAGTGCCAGAGGGGAGGGGCCTGGAGAGGGAGGCCTGGCTGACTCCTCTTCCTCATGCTCGGAGCTTTCTTCCTCTGATGGGATAGGCTCAGAGGGCGGGGCCACAACAGATATGGCCTACTGGACTAGCTAGGAACTTCTTTAATGATGGGTCCTGGGATCCCGAGACGTGACATAGCGCAAATAAGGCCTCTTAAGTTTGTTATGGGTTGTAAAAGGTGTTCGTTGTATTCTTTTCTAATTAGATTTTTTAGGCGAGTGGGGTGGGTTGTGATATCCGGTTGGTTGCTGGGGGGGCTCCACCAGGTCAATTGCAGTCCAGGCCATTGGAGGATCGTGGCGGGGTTGGGGTCCCCCGGGGCTCCGAGGGAGGGGGTGGGGGCTCTGATCCCTAGGGCGATTGGGAATGGCGGCAGGTGGATGAACAGAGGGCCATATCGGAATCTGGGAGCACGCCCCCGCTGTCTTAGGTGGTGGCGTGCTCTGACCCTCTTGGTTTCATCCGCTTTCCTGGGGGTTTGGGAGAGCAGGCCCCTGGGCTCAGGCTGGTTTATTTTAATGCCAGGTCTATGGTTAACAAAGCTCCCTTCATCTGTGAATTGATCAAGGAGTAAAATGCGGACCTGGCTTGCATTACGGAGACCTAGTTGGGCTCAGAGGGAGGTGTCCCTCTGACTGAACTTTGCCCGCCAGGTTTCTGGGTGCTACACCAGCCGCGGACCCAGGGTAGGGGCGGGGGAGTGGCAGTTGTTATTAGGGAGGCCCTGTGTCCGCAGGAGGTCACTGTCCCCCAGATAGACGGGTGCGAGTCCCTCCTCATGACATGGGGCCCTCGAGGGCAGTTGAGCCTGCTGATTGCATACCTTTCTCCTAGCTGTGTATCAGCGGCCCTGCCCGGGCTGCTCGACGTTATATCGGGGTTGGTTGAGTTTCCCAGATTTATTGTTCTGGGGGACTTTAATATGCCTTCCCTGGGTGGGGCGTCGGGGGTGGCCCAGGAGTTCATGGGGGGAGGGGGAACACGTGCCCGATCTAGTTTTTATCTCGGGACAGTGGCGTGATGAGTTCGGTGGGGGAATACCAGTTATTCATCCCCTTTCATGGACTGATCATTATCTCCTCCGGTTGGGCTTCCATTACGCCACTCCTCGCCGCTGGGACGTGGGACTGACCAACTGGTTCCTCCCCAGGTGCCTGATGGACCCTGATAGGTTTCAAATGGAGCTTGGGGCGATGCCTGCCTGCCTCCCTTTCCCACGCCCCGGTCGAGACCCTGGTGGAGGCCTGGGAAATGGCGGCCGCCAGGGCTCTCAACCGTGTCATGCCTTTTCGGCCTCTGACCCGGTGCAGATCTCGGTTGGCCCCTTGGTTTACTGAGGAGCTCCGGGAGTTGAAGCACCAGAGGAGAGGCCTAGAGAGCGGATGGAGATCCAGTTGTTCTGATTCAATCCGTGCACAGCTAAGATCTTTTACGAGGTTTTATCTTGTGATGATGGAGGCAGCGAAGCGTTCTTACTTCTCTGCCCTCATCGCGTCCGCGGATAATCATCCGGACGCCCTGTTTAGGGTGTCCCGCTCCCTCTTGAATCGGGGAACGGGATGACCCTCTGCGGGGCCGGGCCAAGGAGTTTAGTCAACATCTGCTGGACAAGATCGCTCAGATCCGGACCAGTCTGGACTCTTGACTGGGCAGGGTCGGACGGGGGGGGGGAGAGAACCGGTTGTGTTATTTGGGAAGCGTTCAACCCTGTTACTCCAGAAGAAGTGGACAGGATCATGGGTAAGCTGAGTGCTGCCACGTGTGTATTGGACCTGTGTCCCTCCTGGCTCGTTTATTCGGCTCGGAAGGTTACTGTCAAACCCCCTCACGCTGCAGCGCTTTCGGCGAAAGGAAAGAACTCGAACGTCAGCTTCTACGTGTGTGATTCCTTTAATTCGTTCTGCGCACAACGATGCCGGTGGGTGATGTGAGTGCAACATGCACAAAGTCGGCGTTGGGAGCGGCTGCCTCCCAACGCCTTTTAAATTCTCGCGCCACTGAAATGTACGCCCTTTCGGGTTGCGCGGCCACAGCGCATGCACACAGGGCCATGACGCCGAAAGTCGGCGAGAAACATCAGAGTCTAGCAGCTCCTAACCCGTCCGCTGCGTGACCGGCCGCCTGCGTTAATCTAACACCCCCGTCACCCAGCGTGAAGTGTACATTGCCCAGCCCACCCTGGTCATTTGCCGCTTTGCCGCTGACTTGTAGCAAGCCCCAGGTGGCTGTCTAGGAGGTCGAGGTCAGGCTGCTATGCGGTGAGTTGTCGAGGGGCTCTCGACAGGCGGCTCCCCCTACTAAGGCTGTTTCTGGAAGATAGAAAGGAACATGTTAACAGCAGGTCTAACCAGTAGAAACACCCCCCCTTTATGGCCCGGGCTTATGTGGATGATGCGCATGGAAGCGCCTGATCAACCGATCAGCCCTCACGTTAACAGCACTAACCCATGAGGCGTCCTCGAATGGGTACCCTTTCCACTTAACTAAATACTGTGTTTTACCCCTCCTGTATCTAGAATCCAGGAGTTCTTCTATCTCATAATGGTTTCCATCCACTGGCCCAGGTCTAGGTAGAGTGTCTCGTACTGTGGCAAGTGGTTTCAGGAGGCTGCAATTCTCGCGCCACTGAAATGTGCGCCCTTCGGGGTTGCGCGGCCACAGCGCATGCGCACAGGGCCATGACGCCGAAAGTGGGCGAGAAACATCAGAGTCTAGCAGCTCCTAACCCGGCCGCTGCGTGACCGGCCGCCTGCGTTAATCTAACACCCCCGTCACCCAGCGTGAAGTGTACATTGCTCAGCCCACCCCGGTCGTTTGCCGCTGACTTGTAGCAAGCCCCAGGTGGCTGTCCAGGAGGTCGAGGTCGGGCTACTATGCGGTGAGTTGTCGAGGGGCTCTCGACAGTTACATGAAGCTGGATCCAGGCAGTGATTAATGCATCCTTGGGTGAGGGAAGCTTCCCTATAGCCTTGAAAGAGGCAGTGGTGAGACCTCTCCTCAAGAAACCTGCTTTGGATCCAGCTATTTTAAACAACTTTCATCCTGTCTCCAACCTTCGCTTTGTTGCGAAGGTTGTTGAGAGCGTGATGGCACGTCAACTTCCGTTGGCCCTGGATGAAGCGGAGTACCTGGATCCGTACCGATCGGGTTTCAGGCCCGGGTACAGTATGGAGACTGCATTGGTCGCCCTGGTGGATGATCTCTGGAGGGCCCGAGACAGAGGTTACTCCTCTGTCCTGGTCCTATTAGATCTCTCGGCGGCTTTCGATACCATCAACCATGGTATCTTGCTGCGACGCCTCAAGGGGTTGGGAGTGGGAGGCACTGTCTTACAGTGGTTCTCCTACCTCGGAACGTTCGCAGGTGGTGTTGGCTGAGGGACAGAGGTCGGCCCCGAGGCCCCTCACTTGGGTACCCCAGGGGTCGGTCCCCTCTCTTTTGTTCAACATCTATATGAAGCCGCTGGGTGAGATCATCCGGGGTTTTGGGGTGAGGTATCATCAGTATGATGATGATACCCAGCTTTTTATATCCACCCCAAACCAACCCAGCGATGCCCTTGACATGATGTCCTGTTGCCTGGAAGTGGTGCGGATCTGCATGGGGAGGAACAGGCTTCGGCTCAACCCTGCCAAGACCGAGTGGCTGTGGGTACCGGCGTCTCGGTCCGATCAAGAGATTCCATCTTTGGTCATAGGGGATGAGGTGTTGCCCCCTGTAGACAGGGTGCGCAACTTGGGTGTCCTCCTGGACTCGCGGCTAAACTTGGAAGATCATGTAACAGCCGTAACCAGGGGGGCATTCGGCCAGGTTCGCCTGGTGCACCAATTGCGCCCCTATTAGGACCTAGATGCCCTACGCACGGTTACTCATGCGCTTGTCACCTCCCGTATTGACTACTGCAATGCCCTCTACATGGGGCTGCTCTTGAAGACCACTCGGAGGCTTCAGCTGGTGCAGAATGCGGCCACGCGGGTTGTGATGGGAGTATCTCGACACTCCCATGTTGCACCTCTCCTACACGATTTGCATTGGTTGCCAGTTGCCCTCCGAGTGAGATTCAAGCTGCTGGTGACTACCTATAAGGCCCTATATGGCTTAGGCCCAGGATATTTGGGGGGCCATCTGCAACCAGCAACAGCTGCCCATCGCGTGGTACGTTCCCACAGAGAGAGCCTCCTCAGGGTGCCGTCGGCCAGACAGTATCGGCTGGCGACCCCCAGGGGGAGAGCTTTCTCTGTGGGTGCACCTACCCTTTGGAATCAACTGCCTGTCAGCACTCCAAGCTGCATTCACTCCAGTGCTGACATAAGGAGGAGAAGGTGGGGGCATATTTATTTGAGACAACACCAAATCTTGACACTTCCCCTGGAGCTCCGGGTGGCCCCCGACCTCCGCTCTTTCTGTCGCGACCTGAAAATGTGGCTGTTTCGTTTGGCTGGCCTGGACTGATGGGGTTTTAACTTTTAATTTGTTAGTCTTAATTGCACTTTTAACTGTTAAATTATGAGATTTGGATTTAATTTCTTTTTTAACTTTTTCATTAGATGTTTTTTACTGTTGTGAGCTGCCCTGATTCCGGCTGGAGATAGGGCAGCATATAAATCTCATCAATCAATCAATCAATCAATAAATAAATAATAAATAAATAAATAATAAATAATAAATAAATTCACAAAGGAAAGGAAAGGCCATTATTGTCAAGTAAAGGGGAAGAAATAAATAAGCAGCTCCTGTTGTGAAGGAAAATAGGAAATAAAAAAGAAGGAACTCACAAAAGTGGCAGGCGTTTATCCAGAAATAACAGCAACCCACAGAGTAGGAGTTCTCAAATTCTCTCATTTTGATTTGAATTGGAAAAATACATGTGGAGAGGAAAAACTTAAGTGAACTAACATGGTTAAAGTCTTTTTTTCAGGTGCAGGAGCCATTCATTGAGGAGATCTCAGCAGAGCTCCAGGGAAGAGGAGATCCATCCAATGATTCTAAAGACCACCTTTTCAGGAGGATCCAACTGGGGCCACCTTGCCAGGTAAGTGTAGATTTCTTTTGAAAAGTTTAAACGCCTTCATTCATGAGCTGCTTTGAAAACCAAATGCTAAGTCTGTGTGAATTTGAACCTGGTGTCCCCACAGAATGACCCAGTGAGCTTTACTGATTCAACCTTGAAGATGATCCTAGGAATGCAAACAAAAGACAATTCTCAAGAGTCTTGTACTAGAAATGTAATTTATATGTTGGAACAGTTTAATTTTTCTTATTATCTTTAAAAAGACTTAGGGAAAGCAGTTAAAAAATTAAAGACATGAAGCGAAACAATACCAATTGAACAAAAACTGCTTCAGAAATAGCCCAATATATCCATTTACAAATAAATTACCCATGGATAAATTTCTCATATAAAAACCTGTAAATCAAAGCTGAGAAGCTTTAATGGTCAGACTGTTGGTCAAGTGACTTGATATTTTCAGGATCATGTACAACATTTTGAAATAGGTAAGATAAAAAATTCTTAATAGGTATGTCCTGTTTTCTTAAGAAATTTGTATTTTACTGGGTTTACTGAGTTAAGCCAGAGGATTCCTCTAAGCAAAATCTTTTTGGTGAATTCTCCCAGGCCATGGGAGGGGGGTCCCCAAGCAGTGTCATTCTACAACTTGGATGCATCTAAGCTATATTTTGTGCCTTTAAAAAAGCAGCATGGAGGAGGTGGAGGGGGGGCTTCTCACCCTTAAGGACTATGTCCGCCTGCAGGATGTTTGTCTGTCCTAGAAGAAAATGTCCATTTTGTCTCTTGCAAAGCTATCTTTTCTCTTTGGGAATTAATAAAGTATTAGAGAGGACTGTCATATGGGGAAGACATTTTTTTTGTTTCTAGGACTCTGATCCCTTTGAGGAGGTGGCTGTTGACTTCACAGAGGAGGAGTGGGCACTGCTGGATTCTAGCCAGAAGGCCTTGTGCAGAGAAGTCATGCTGGAGGTTACTATGAATATGGCTGCTCTGGGTAAGGATCCTCTTTGCTCTGGATTCTGTTGATTTGGAAAAGGTGTTTTGAATGGGAATTAAACAGGGAAGATTCATGCACTCAATTGCATAATTGAGGTGGTGAGAACTCTAATGACTATCACCTGTAAAATCTTTCCTAACCTCAGGAAAATCAGGATCACAATGGATAGTATGTAGATAATGTCCACTGGACACCCAAATGTGCAAAAGTCCCATACACTTCCCTTTGGTTCCCTTTTAACTGCCAGAACCTCTAGATCATAAAGCAGCTGAGTCACTTCATGGGCAATTTTGCCCAAGTTTGTCCTCACAGCCACTCTTCTAGAAAACTACAAGGGCCTTGGCAAAAATGCTCACTATAGTTTTAGCATTGTGAAAGGCCTTAGATGGAAATGCCTGAGCAAATTGATCTAACAACAAAAAGCCTTAATATGGTTCTGGGCTGAAAAATCTCTTGGATATCTTTAAGAATATCATTGATAACAATTTCAATCCAACATCTAGTTTGACAAATTGCTGGTACCAAACCTGATACTCAAATGGGCATATTTTTGAGTGGGAGACACCCCCCTTCGCCATCATTATAAATTCTAATGAGAATTTGTGGAGGGTTTTTTCCCAACCAGGTGATGGTGATGGGCTGGAGAATGAGAAGCAGCTGAGATTATTTAAACTACAAAGGGCAGTGTCTTCAAAGAGCCAAAGCGACTTCTGTACAAGACATAATCTGACTCCCCATCAGAGGATCCACTCAAGCGAAAAAACAAATAGTTGTGTGGAGTCTGGAAAGAGATTCACTGAGAGTAGTGATATTACTTGCCATCAAAGGATTGACACAGAGGACAGACCATATCAATGCCTGGAGTGTGGAAAGAGCTTTATTGAGAAATGGCGCCTTACTTTCCACCTAAGGATGCACATGGCGGAAAGACCGTATAAATGCATGGAGTGTGGAAAAAGCTTTCCTCAGAACTCAGAACTTATTTGTCATCAGAGAATCCACACTGGGGAGAGACCATATAAATGCATGGAGTGTGGAAAAAGCTTCACTCACAAAGGAACACTTAATTCTCACAAAGGGATCCACATGCGAGAGAGACCATATAAATGCCTAGAGTGTGGAAAGAGCTTTTGTCAGAACTCAGAACTTATTCATCATCAGAGAATCCACACTGGGGAGAAACCATATAAATGCATGGAGTGTGGAAAAAGCTTTGCTCGGAAAGGACATCTTAATGTTCATGAAAGGATTCATACTGGGGAGAGACCTTATAAATGTATACAATGTGGAAAAGCGTTTACTCAGAAAAATAGTCTTATTATTCATGAAAGAATCCATACAGGGGAGAAACTTCAATGTCCAGAATGTGGAAAGTGTTTTGCTCAGAAAGGACAACTTAAATTCCATGAGAAAATCCACAGGGCAGAAATGCTTGGAGTGTGGAAAAAGCTTTAACTTGAGCAAAGATCTTATTTGTCATGAAAGGACCCACACTGGGGAGCGACTATATAAGTGCATGGAATGTGGAAAGCAATGTACTTGGAAAAATTATCTTATTAATCATGAAAGAGACCATATAAATGCACAGAATGTGGAAAATGTTTTGCTCAAAGGGTTTAGCATTCCTGAGACGTGGTTTAGCATTTGTTCACTGAAGGTGGTAATCTTGGGTGAAAGGCCAGTTTTCTTACTTTGGCAATGAGATCTCAGGATAAAAGACATCTTAGGTTATGATCAAATTAGGAGGAATGTTGCACACTATTACATTTATTTTTTCCACTGCACTTTCACCTTTGTCTAGAGGCTACTCTGATCTGTGGTTTTGAACTGCTGAAGGCAGAATGTGTGAGGGGTGGTCATAATTTCCTTCCCACACATTCCAATAAAAATTCTCTAGTTCAGCTCTTTCTGTATATTGCAGATAACATTAAAACACTTCTAACTAAAAGTTAAACTTGACTTGGGACTTGAGATGAGAAAGAATGAAGTATTCAAATTGCCTTTTAATGATAATTGCAATGTTTTCAAGGAGTGTGTTGAAGTACAAGTGGAGCAGGGGTGGATTTCACCTACCTTTGCTACCGGTTCGCTTCTGCACATGCGCAGATCGTATTTGATGGCGGGTGGGCAGAGCATCCCACCACTGCTACTACTGTGTATCGTATTTGATGGCGGGTGGGTAGCAACCCCCCACTGAAGTGGAGGAAAAAAGTAAGATAAGCGAACTAACATGGTTATAGACATTTGAAAGTGGATCGTAAAATAGGCTGTCATTTCATTTGGTAGTCATGGAGATTTCAACAGAGCTCCCCCAGAGGTGAAGGTGTTTTGTTTGTGAATAGTCTTAATGGGCACAAAATCTGCTGGGAGCTATTAAGGAAGGGGCTGCTTTCTGTCTCTAAGAACATGTTTCTTCATTTCTCCTTTGGGGAAATATATTTTACCTCTTAATATTCATCAAAATATTTCATTCTCTAGAAGGGGAGGGGCTTCCACAGAAGAAATAGGAACTAAAACGTAATGGCAGATGACACTGTAGAAAAAGGAGAGTTCCTTCTTTTGAGTGTCACCACATGAATACAGACAACAGGACAAACTGGTTTGTAGGAATCCCCAAAAACAGTTATTGCTTGCATATTTATATTATATAATTATATAGCATATAAACAAATTTAACTAGTGGGAAGTAAAGGGAAACCTCAGATCTTCAGAACCAGTGCAGAGAAGAGCAACCAAGATGATTAGGGGACTGGCGGCTAAAACATACAATGAACACTTGCAGAAACTAGGCATGGCTAGTATAGTGAACAGGAGGACCAGGGGAGACATGATAGCAGTCTTCCAGTATCTCAGGGGCTGCCACAGGGAGGAGGGGGTCGAACTATTTCCCAAAGCATCCGAAGGCCAGACAAGGAATAATGGGTGGAAACTGATCAAGGAGAGATTCAACCTAGAAATCAATTTTCTGACACAACAATCAACCAATGGAACGGAAGTTGTGGGAGCTTCATCACTGGAGGCTTTCAAGAAGAGACCAGATTTGCCATCTGTCAGAAATGGTGTAGGGTCTCCTGCTTGGGCAGGGGGTTGGACTAGATGACCAACAAGGTCCCTTGGTCCAACTCTTAATCCGTTAGATTCATTCAATTCAAAGGAGCTTTGCTCTATTCCAGCCCTGCTCTACCTCCAGGCCTATTCCCTACACCCGCGCATCGCCCCCCCCCCGTCCCCTACCAAATACTCCGCCACTACGTCACTTCGGCTGACTTTTGAGCGTCTACAAAGAACAGGGCATGCGCAGAAGGCCCAGAGGTTGGACAGAAGTGAGACGCTCTAGTCAAGAGCAATAAAGCATGAGGGATAATAGACTTGTGCCTCTCTAGGAAGCAATCATACCTCACCGAGTCTGCGGGAGGCCTGCCGAGCGCGGGAAGTTTTGGCGGGAGCGACTTGCAGCTGCTCTCCTCAGCCTCAGAGAACGGAGCCTCCTTCTCTCCCCTGAAACCGGGAAAGGGGCGGGGAGAGTGGGTGGGGAAGGGTCGGCCGTGAGCGAAGGCGGCCTCCGAGAGAGTTTCCCCCCGTTCGGGCTGCTCTGAAGCCGGAGACCGAATGGAGGCCCAGGGGTCTCCGGGGACGGGAGCAGCAGCGGCCCTTCAGGCGGGGAGCGGCTGCGGCGGGGAGTCCGGCGAGGAACCCCGCAGCCCCGAGGTTGAGCGCTGGCGCTTCCGCAGCTGCGTCTCCCGGGAGGCGGAGGGGCCCCGGGCGCTTTGCAGCCGCCTGTACGGGCTGTGCCGGGGGTGGCTGCGGCCCGAGCGGAGCAGCAAAGCCGAGATGCTGGACCTGGTGGTGCTGGAGCAGCTGCTGGCCCTGCTGCCCCCGGAGCTGGCGGGCTGGCTGAGGGAGTGCGCGGTGGAGAGCTGCGCCCAGGCGGTGGCCCTGGCCGAAGGCTGCCTCCTCGGCCCCGCAGCCGCCCAGGAAAAGCTGGCAAAGGGCCGGCAGGTGAGGCTCTTTCATCCTCTTCGACGCCTCTTGTTTCTCTTCCTTGCAGATAATCACAGAGAAAATAGATCCAGACAACACGTGTTAGGATTATAGATAAGAAACTATGTGGGAATAACCCTTGTAGGATGGTGTTCCCACATTCTATTCTCCCACGTAGTTTGTCATGGACTGGACAGCCATCATGCAAAAGATACCTCAATTCCCCCACGGAGCTGGAGGGGAGAAATGTCATAAAAATCCTTCCTAGTAGTCCAGTGAGTACAATGAGAGAACAAAAAAATATTTTTTTAATGTGGTCTTACAGACAGAGGTAATATTCTTTGTCAGGCTTCTTCTCTACCTGGAAGGGCTGATAAATGTTTCCTCCAGTCAGGATTCCCAAACCAGGGACTCAGACTGATTCCAAGAGGGCTCCTCTATCTAGTAATAGCTATTGCCCAAAATCCCACCCACCCAGAAAAACATGTTTCTATCTCAAATTGGACCACTTCTCTAGTCTTTTTAGAAATTTTGATCATTAGCTTTGAACTGAATGTGAATGTAAGGTCTTAAGTGAATTCCCTTTCTCATGTTAACCAAGGCAATGTTGGAAACCTTTATTTGTCCCAAAATTGCTTTTTCCAGAGACAACTGGAAGATGTTTCACTTCTCTTCAAAGAAGCTCCTTCAGCTCTTCAGTAAAATACTTTACAAAATCACAGTTTAAATACAATCATCCTTTTTTTCCATTGCTTGGTTTCAGTAAAATTAGTAGAGATGCAGATCCCAAAACTACATGCCTAATCTGTACTTGTACCTATGGCTTTTCCTGCCTAAGTGTAAAGCCTTCCTTTTCTCTACATTAACTTTCATTTTCTGGATAGGGCCCATTGTTCAAGTCTGACAAGATCCTTTTCTTTCCTGAACTTATCTTCTGGGGAGTTGGCTATTCCTGCCAGCTTAATGTCATCTACAAATTTGATGAGTTCCCCTTCTATTCCCTCATCTAAATCATTTATGAAGATATAGAAGAGTACTGGGCCTAAGATGGATCTTTGAGATACCCCACTGTATACTTTTCACTCCAGAAAATAGGATAAAGTTTGAAAAAAATGGTCCCTGAAGAAAAAAACAAAGCTTGCAGAGAAAAACAAAAAAGTATACTTTATTCATATTCCTTTACCATGATCATGGCGCTCCCTCTACCAGATGATAGAAGGAGAGAGCCATTATATAGACATAAATACATTCACAAAGAAAGAAAGGCCATTATTGTCAAGTAAAGGGGAGGAAATAAATAAACAGCTCCTGTTGTGAAGGAAAATAGGAAATAAAAAAGAAGGAACTCACAAAAATGGCAGGCGTTTATCCAGAAATAACAGCAACCCACAGAGTAGGAGTTCTCAAATTCTCTTATTTTGATTTGAATTGGAAAAATACATGTGGAGAGGAAAAACTTAAGTGAATTAACATGGTTAAACTCATTTGAAAGTGGATCATAAATCAGGCTTTTTTTCAGTTGCAGAAGCCATTCATTGAGGAGATCTCAGCAGAGCTCCAGGGAAGAGGAGATCCATCCAATGATTCTAAAGAGCTTCTTTTCAGGAGGATCCAATTGGGGCCACCTTGCCAGGTAAGTGTAGATTTCTTCTGAAAAGTTTAAACGCCTTCATTCATGAGCTGCTTTGAAAACGAACTGCTGAGTCTGTGAATTTGAACCTGGTGTCCCCATAGAATAACCCAGCCTTACTGATTCAACCTTGAAGATGATCCTAGGAATGCAAACAAAGGACAATTCTCAAGAGTCCTGTACTAGAAATGTAATTTATATGTTGGAACAGTTTAACAGTTTTGAAAAGACTTGGGGAAAGCAGTTAAAAAATTAAAGACATGAAGCGAAACAATACCAATTGAACAAAAACTGCTTCAGAGATAGCCCAATATATCCATTTAAAAATAAATTACCCATGGATAAATTTCTCATATAAAAACCTGTAAGTCAAAGCTGAGAAGCTTTAATGGTCAGACTGTTGGTCAAGTGACTTGATATTTTGAAATAGGTAAGATAAACAATTCTTAATAGGCATGTCCTGTTTTCTTAAGAAATTTGTATTTTACTGGGTTTACTGAGTTAAGCCAGAGGATTCCTCTAAGCAAAATCTTTTTGGTGAATTCTCCCAGGCCATGGGAGGGGGGTCCCCAAGCAGTGTCATTCTACAACTTGGATGCATCTAAGCTATATTTTGTGCCTTTAAAAAACCAGCCTGGAGGAGGTGGAGGGGGGGCTTCTCACCCTTAAGGACTATGTCTGCCTGCAGGATGTCTGTCTGTCCTAGAAGGAAATGTCCATTTTGTCTCTTGCAAAGCTATCTTTTCTCTTTGGGAATTAATAAAGAATGTATTAGAGAGGACTGTCATATGGGGAAGACATTTTTTTTGTTTCTAGGACTCTGATCCCTTTGAGGAGGTGGCTGTGGACTTCACAGAGGAGGAGTGGGCACTGCTGGATTCTAGCCAGAAGGCCTTGTGCAGAGAAGTCATGCTGGAGGTTACTATGAATATGGCTGCTCTGGGTAAGGATCCTCTTTGCTCTGGATTCTGTTGATTAGGAAAGGTGTTTTGAGTGGGAATTAAACACGGAGGATTCATGCACTCAATTGCATAATTGAGGTGGTGAGAACTCTAATGACTATCACCTTTAAAATCTTTCCTAAACTCAGGAAAATCAGGATCACAATGGATAGTATGTAGATAATGTCCACTGGACACTCACAAGTGCAAAAGTCCCATACACTTCCCTTTGGTTCCCTTTTAACTGCCAGAGCCTCTAGATCATAAAGCAGCTGAGTGACTTGATGGGCAATTTTGCCCAAGTTTGTCCTCACAGCCACTCTTCTAGAAAACTACAAGGGCCTTGGCAAAAATGCTCACTATAGTTTTAGCATTGTGAAAGGCCTTAGATGGAAATGCCTGAGCAGATTGATCTAACAACAAAAAGCCTTAATATGGTTCTGGGCTGAAAAATCTCTTGGATATCTTTAAGAATATCATTGATAACAATTTCAATCCAACATCTAGTTTGACAAATTGCTGGTACCAAACCTGATACTCAAATGGGCATATTTTTGAGTGGGAGACACCCCCCTTCGCCATCATCATAAATTCTAATGAGAATTTGTGGGGGGTTTTTTCCCAACCAGGTGATGATGATGGGATGGAGAATGAGAAGCATCTGAGGTTATTTAAACTGCAAAGGGCAGTGTCTTCAAAGAGCCAAAGTGACTTCTGTACAAAACATAATCTGACTCACCATCAGAGGATCCACTCAAGCGAAAAAACAAATAGTTGTGTGGAGCTTGGAAAGAGATTAACTGAGAGTAGTGATATTACTTGCCATCAAAGGATTGAAACAGAGGACCGACCATATAAATGCCTGGAGTGTGGAAACAGCTTTATTGACAAATGGCGCCTTACTTTCCACCTAAGGATGCACATGGCGGAAAGACCGTATAAGTGCATGGAGTGTCGAAAAAGCTTTCGTCAGAACTCAGAACTTATTTCTCATCAGAGAATCCACACTGGGGAGAGACCATATAAATGTTTGGAGTGTGGAAAAAGCTTCACTCAGAAAGGAACACTTAATTCTCACAAAGGGATCCACATGCGAGAGAGACCATATAAATGCCTAGAGTGTGGAAAGAGCTTTATTGACAAATGGCGCCTTACTTTCCACCTAAGGATCCACATGGCGGAAAGACCGTATAAGTGCATGGAGTGTCGAAAAAGCTTTCGTCAGAACTCAGAACTTACTTGTCATCAGAGAATCCACACTGGGGAGAGACCATATAAATGCTTGGAGTGTGGAAAAAGCTTCACTCAGAAAGGAACACTTAATTCTCACAAAAGGATCCACATGCGAGAGAGACCATATAAATGCATGGAGTGTGGAAAGAGCTTTTTTGACAACAGTGATCTTACTCGACATCAAAGGATGCACACGGGGGAAAGACCGTATAAATGTGTGGAGTGTGGGAAAAGCTTTCGTCAGAATACAGAACTTATTTGTCATCAGAGAATCCACACTGGCGAGAGACCATATAAATGCTTGGAGTGTGGAAAAAGCTTCACTCAGAAAGGAACACTTAATTATCACAAAAGGATCCATGTGCGAGAGAGACCATATAAATGCATGGAGTGTGGAAAGCAATTTATTCAGAAAGGTCATCTTATTACTCATGAAAGAATCCATACAGGGAAGAGACCATATAAATGCACAGAGTGTGGAGAAAGCTTTGCTCGGACAGGACAACTTAATTCTCATAAAAGGACCCACACAGAAGAGAGACCATATAAATGCATGTAGTGTGAAGAAAGCTCCAACAATTTCAATACATTTACTCATGCAGGAATCCAAAGTGGGGAAAATCCATATAAATTCCATATAAAGAGCTTTGCTTGGAAAGGATAACATAAATCTCATAAAATTATGCCCACAGAAGAAACCATATACATCTATGGAATGAGCTTCATTCAAAACAATCAAATTACTCATCATCAAAGAATCCAGAAATGAGAAGGAAGCTGCTTATTGCATAGAACGTGCAAAGTTCTTTTGTTTGATCTGGAATGTTATTCATGGTCCTGTGAGGATTCTCTGATTTCCAAGGAGTGGACACAACATAGCACAGCATTAGCAACTCTGTACAGCGTGCTTCATTCTGTCTCATGCCTTCCCAGCAATAGGCTATTGCTCTTAACTCTACCCTTCTGGACCTTGCAAGCTGAGATTGCCATGCAAATGCATCTTTAAGACTGAGTCCTTAACTGAAACAAAAATTTCAAAGTCTGTAAAGTGGTACGCAACCTTTGCTTCCTTCCAAACATTCTTGCATTGAGGGACTGCCTCGGTGCATTTGCTCCATTTTTTCTTGTCCAATTTCCAAGCCCTGCTTTTAAGCAGTATTGCCAAGCTGAGTTGTCAAGTCAACCTCCAGGCGGGAGTCCCACCAGAATATGTTACTTGCCGTAGTTTGTGGTGCTGGCGGTTGAGGGATTGCTTGCTTGTATTGCTTGTCAGTCACCAAATATGGCCTCCTGTTTCACCATCTTCTTGTCCTTTTCTTATCTCCTTTTCTCTTACAGCCCCACACAAGCTCTTTGCTCTTTCTTAGCCTTTGTTTCTGTAAATTAAGGGCCTTGGTGAGGTGAGGTTGCTTCTGGATTTCCACACATTGTTGAAAACGCCAGCCGTGGCTCAATTAGCCAAGAATTGGATCGCCAGTGTGGATCCTTGGAAGTAAAGTGAGTGAAGGCATGAGCCCATCTCAGATTTCTCGAGCTGTGCTGCGCCATGGGGAAGAGGGGTGTCCTGGCTGCAACTGTTTTTCAAAGCACAGACAGCAATTATAGCTTTGCTTCCTCAAACATCCATGCAGGAAAAAAACTATAAGCACCCGAATATAGAAAGAGCTGAAGGTAGAACTGTGGCCTGCCTATTGATGGGATGACCCACACAGGAGTATTGTCATACAAACATGGCTAAATTACATAGTGGGTAATTCAATGAGAGTTGTCTCAATCATTCTTCATTTTCTGCACATATTTCGCAAAGTTATCCAAGACACTTCAGAGAAAAGGGTTAGGAATTCAGATTGGAAGAATTTTCATCTTCTTTTCTCCCCATTGTATTATCTGCTCCCTTCCTTTCCATGCAGTGCCTTCCCAGATTACTCAATCCATTCTTGAAGGGGTTCTGCAATTTCCTGAATAGAACATACTCCCCAGATGGGTTTGCCCATTGGCTACACCAAAATGTGGTTAGTAATAGGCTAAATCTTTAGAAAGTATATCTGGCTGTTTAAATTGACATTTCTGACTCTACATTTACGGTACATTGAAAAGCGAGCGTGATATTGGGAGGTAAAAGAGTTGCCTTGAACTGCAAGATGACTGGCATATAAATTGAATGAATGAATGAATGAATGAACGAACAAACAATTATGTCTGATGTAGAAAGGTAAGATTTTTCCTGAACTCAAAGGAGTAATTCACTAGAGCTGAATGTGTAACATTCTGGATGGACAGATCCTGTACCTGGTATCTTGTAGTAGGTCAGGTTACACTAAAAATGAGTTCAGTTAACTTCCAGCACCTGGCTAATCATATCTTGATAAGATAAGAAGGATCAGTTCTTGTTAGGGACTGAATAGGAGACCACTGGGATTTGCAAGACTGAAGGTCCATATTGCTATCTGAGGAGGAGAGACAGGCTGAAAGCTGTAGGAGTCCATTTTGGACTCTGTATTCTTTTCCTTAGACACATTCCTATCCTTCATAGTGCTACTAATTTATCTGTATCATCTTCTTTTTTATTGCTGCTTATGTTTATATTATGTGCAGCTAAAAGTATTTAATTGGCTTTGTTCAATAAATTATTTCAAGTTTTATTGCCTGAAACCCTTTGTCATATATGGATGGGGCAAAACAAAGCTAGTTTGGACAGTCAAACAATATATCAGACTGCAGCAGTGACAAACTACTTCTGTGTTACTGCTGAGCAAATATGGCTATTTTGAACCAAGCTCTTAGAATAACAAAACAACAGAGTTGGAAGGGACCTTGGGGGTCTTCTTGCCCAGCCCTCTTGCTCAGGCAGATACCCCTGGCCTGGCCTGGCCTATACCACTTAATGTTCTCTGTTTATTTGTGACCATGTCTGAAATCTCAGTTGATTTCTTCTGTGATCTATTTGTGGGATTCTTTGAGTGACCATGGTGTTTTCAAGAGTGATCACATGGCTAGAAGGGACCTTTGAAGTCTTCTAGTCCAATCCAGTCCCCTGCCCAAGTTGTGGAAGTTCTCCCGCAGCCCCTTGGCTGCATCATCTGCACCACTTCATCTGTCTGCATTTCTTCTGGGGACCCTTATACGTACTGTACCCCTCTCTGCATTTCCTCTGTGGGAGATGTGGCTCTAGAGGCAGTTTGGAAGCCCTATTGAGGGAGGCTGCAGCTTTCCATTGAAGAGTCTCTCCCAGGAGAAGGGGGCATGGAAGTCACTTGGGAGGTAAATTTCAAAAAGGCAGCATTTTTTAACCTGCCCGAGAGGAAGCCTTGCTGACTTTGGTGGACTTTCCTCAAAATAGGCATACAAGATTGCCTTGTGAAGGGGCTCAGAGAAGAACATTCTGTAACTTGGGTCATCACACAACGTTTAGAAAAACTTTTTTCTAGATACTTTCCCATGTTTAAATAGACCCTCAAAAATAGAGAGGCTCTATTCTCAGCCCTTTAATGTGGGAAATATTGGGCTATAGCAGGGGTCAGCAACCCATGGCTCTGGAGCCTCTTTCATCCCTCTACTGCGGCTCCCTGTTGCCAGTCAGCTCCACAATTGATTGGGCTTTCGGTTAGGACCGGTAGAGGAAAAAGGATGTCGCACTAGGAGGAGACTATGGTGCGGTCTTCCGGTCAGCTCCAGAATTGAATGATGGTTAGGACCTTTGGGGCTCTTTGAGTGTTTAAGGTTGCCGACCCCTGGGCTATAGTAATGAAATCTTAAACCCTAATAGCATTTTCCTTCCCTCCAGCGATGCAGCACGCAGAATCCCGGGAGGCAAACACTGTTCCATTGATTAATACTTCTCACTGTTAGGAAATCCCTCATTTCCAGGTTGGATCTCCCACCGGTGAGCTTCCTCCCTTTGTTTCTTGTCCTGCCTTCATGTCCTTTGGAAAATAAATTAACCTGGGTCCTCCCTGGGTCAGCCCTTTATGCATTGAAAGACTGCTACCTTAAGCTTACTTTGTTGTTAAGCTGAACATACCTAGTTCCTTAAGCCTCACCAATGCCATATAGACTAATATGATGACTTCCTGTGATCTTGGTGCTGTTCCTCTTATTGATCTAAACTAGGACTGTATTGGCTTTTTTGGCAGCTGTGGTACACTACTGGCTCATATTCCACTCCACCTCATATTCCATAGAATGAGTGGAAACTGATCAAGGAGAGAAGCAACTTAGAACTAAGGAGAAATTTCCTGACAGTTAGAACAATTAATAAGTGGAACAACTTGCATCCAGAAGTTGTGCATGCTCCAACACTGGAAGTTTTAAAGAAGAGGTTGGATAACCATTTGTCTGAAATGGTGTAGGGTTTCCTGCCTGGGCAGGGGGTTGGACTAGAAGACCTCCAAGGTCCAATTCTCATAAAAGGACCCAAACAGAATAGAGACCATATAAAAGCATGTAGTGTGGATAAAGCTTTAACAATCATAAGACATTTACTAATGAAGGAATCCATACACGGTAGGGTGGGGGACTATATATTATATGGAGCTGGTGTAATTTTATTGGGAAAGAACATCTTACTCATGAAAGGATTCACTTGTGCAGGAAACCTGAATGGACAAAGAAAGGCCTCCAAGTAGAAACCCTTATCTGACTCACCAGTAAAGGATCCACACGGGAGAAATCATGTGTCGAAAGGGTAAATTCAGGAAGGACACCATAATCCTCATAAAATAATGCCCACAAAGGAAACTAAATCCATTGAAGGAGACTCTGAACAATACTGTTCCCAAATATTTGAATTCATTTAGAGCAGCTAGGTTTTCCTTTGCCTATTTTCACCTGCATCTCCCACCCCATTCTGTGGAAACAGGGATGCAAAATAGGAATTGAGCCCTTCGGTTTCCTGCCTTCTGCCCATTGCCATTTCACTTTCTTTTCCAACCAGAAGAGTAATGGCTTCCTTGACTTCCCTCTTAATTTACCTAAACACCACTATATAAAACAGAATTTACATGCATTTATCAAATTTAGAAAGCATTTCAACCTGCAGAATTCTGTTAATTCCCAGAAAATACTGCTCGTATTCTTTTCTTTCCTCTTAAGGCTTAGCTAAATAAGTCTTCTCATTTCCCTTTGTTAACTCCTGAGCAGAAGGAAAAGGAGTGAGATCAGCTCCAGAAACATAACCTTTTTTTTTATTGAAAAGTTTTAAAAAAATTTACACATATTTTCCCTTCCCTCCTCCCCCCTCCTGCCCCAACCCTCCCCCCCCGGACTTCCCAGAGCAAATACAGGATATAGCATTTAACAAACATATTAAAAAAACATAAGCTAACTATAGATTTATCTCCCTTTTGCACTTTAACTCCCCTTGTTCATATCTGAATATAACTATTTAAACCAATTATTGCTTGAAAGTAATCAATTCAACTTCATTCTTATCCATTCTCCAAAAATAAACAAGTCGTCTTTCTTCCAGCATTGCACAATCAGAGCCCAATTACAATTAACCATCACATCTCCAATCCTTACATATATTAACACATTAACAAAATATTTTAACCAATCTCAAATAAATTATATTGTAAAACCTTATTTTTACTTTTTACCCCATAAACTTATATTGATTCTTCCTGGATTTTCCAGCCATTTTTTTTTTTAATCCAACCACCTTGAACAATGCTGGGTGTTAACAGCTTTATCGAGAGTTAACTTTCACTTTCACACCCTATTTAGCACAAGCGCCATTTTCTTCACTCCTTTAAGCAGCTTCAAAAAGTAGCAATTTAAGCGTGGAATTAAGGGTTTGTTACTTGCGATTGTCTGCTCTCCTGTCTTCACTCCGCCTGCATAGATAATCAACTTAGATCTCAGTAAAGATTGCAGAAGTGGTCGCGACGTTTTTTTCTGCTTAAAGCAGAAGTGCCCTGGATCTCGGAGTTTCACCGGACTTCCTGGGGAGCTCTCACCCTCCAAGCCCCCAAAACTATTTCAGGGGCTTTCGGGGAGCTCTACCCCCATCCGATTACTCTCCTTTCCCTCTTCTCCCGGGGGAAAGGTTTTCCAGCCGCCGGACAGCTGATTTGCGCTGTCAGAGCGGCTTTACAAGATCACAGGGCTGGCGCTCCAAGAGAGAGCGTCCAGCAACGTCGGTGGTGCCACCGGAAGTTTAAGATAACCTTTTTTGAGTAGTCGCCAAGGCAATTATTCCATACAATTTTAGTTTCCCACATATTTTGGAGAAAAACCTCTTTATATTCTTACAGTCCTAGAACCTTACTAATAAACTTTTATGACCTGTAATTCTACAGCCTCCTTTCATGTATTCGTTTTTCATTATCTCATCCTGTCATCATCAGCTATACTGATCCCTATATTTAAGTCTATGAAGGGGAACAAAACCACATTGAGGTTAATTTCTGTGTTTTTTTTTAGGTAGCTCACCCCTTGAAAAAAGATGAACTCAATAAGAATCCCCCCAGCCAGGAAAGACAAACTCAATTTCATTGAGGGCCGCATCAGGGTTGTGTTTGACCTTCGGGGGCTGGGGTGGGCATGGCCAGCTCGATGTGTCTCTTATTTGGGGTGCCTGTTGGTGCCAGCAAAAACAGATTCCTGAGCTCCATTTTCAGCTGCCATTGCCTTCTGCAACCCTCTGCCCGCGAAAATGGAGCTCGGGAGAGCCGCACACAGCCTTCATGAGTTCCGTTTTTGCTGACAGAAGCACCACAGGCCGGTCCTTCACTGTTTCCAGGGCAACCCCACAAGCCAGATCCATCCCCCGGGCCTTAGGTTTGTCACCCCTGCCATTGAATTACCCAATTAGTTTCACTCATTCAGTTTTCAAGATTTTTCTGGGAATGCAAATGAAGGGTTGGAAGAGTTGGATTTTTCTTAATATTTTTAAAAAGTCTTTTGAAAACCAGTTAATAAAAGCTATGAAGTGAAACATAATAATTGTATAAGAACTCATTCAGAAATATGCCATATCCTCTTAAAATAAATCACATGAAGGACAGATTTGATGAATGTATTTTATTTTTCTTTATGTACACTGAGAGCATATGCATCAAAGGCAAATTCCTTGTGTGTCCAATCACACTTGGCCAATAAAGAATTCTGTTCTGTTCTGTTCTGTGCTTTTAAAACAGCATGGAGGAGGTGAAAGGGGGGCTTCCCACTTTTAAGGACTGTGTGGATCTATGGGGCATATGCTTATCATAGAAGAAAATATTCTATAGTCTTTTGAAAGCTCTGTCTTCTGTTTTGGAAGTAAGAAAGAATACATAACAGGATTATCTGCTGGGAAAGATTTTCTCTCTTTCTCACAGTTTCACCCAGTGATTATGGCCAACAATACAGAGCCCCGTATTTCAGTCCAGCTAGGGGGACAAGCCCACTTTAGGGGGACAATTTTTTTTGAAGTAGTGCAGCCACTTGAAACCAGATCAACTCTTCAAGGATCAAGAAGCCAGGAAAGATCAAGCAGAAAAAGTCAAGATTTCAACATAGCAGTGTTGGGAGAAAACATCAATCTGGTTCAGTTCCAAGACGGGAGAGAGGCCCTGGAAATAAAATGGAGGCTAGCTGCTTAGGAAAGAAGGTCTGTTTATTCATGAGCAGATCCACAACATGCAGTTCTGGGACAGCTGACCAAATGGCTGAAAGTGTGGATTGATCTTTATAGGTTTCTGGGGTTCCGTGTTCAAAATGCTTCAGTGGGTGGTGCAATGTAGTGAGCCTGGTGTTCTTTTGCTATCCTAATGGTCGTGGGTTAATTCTATTATGTCCTAAAAGGTCACCTCCTGTCCTTAGAATTTGGGTGGGGGAATGCAAATTACCCATCACTCATGAAGGTGAGTGGTGCAGACCTAGAGGCGAAGTTCTCGCCTTACAATCAGGAGGCTGTGAGTTCGATCCTAAGTAGCGGCAGATATTTCTCTCTCTTGGCACAATGAGTAAATATGTGCTGAGAACTCTGCATTGGTGACAGGAAAGGCATCTGGCCAGTAACCACTCAGCTCCATTCAGTTGCCCCGACACTACTCCAATGCAAGGGATTATGGGTCATTAAAAGATGAACAAACAGAAGGAGGAGTTGACCAAGAGAACAAATATACAGAAAGTGAAGAAAATGAAATACTTAGGAATTTATATAACCGCAAGATGCACTTCAATGAAAGAAGATAATTAATGAATCACATAAAAGATGATTTGGAGAGAGGGAGAAATTTGAGGCTCTCTTTAATGGGAAGAATAGCTGCGATCAAGATGAACATCCTACCGAAATTACTCTTCTTGTTTCAGAATATTCCTATAAAATTAGATTAAAAGTATTTTGGAAAATTGAATAAAATGACATTGGACTACATTTGGTAAGGGAAGAAACCAAGGATTAAATTTAAACTTCTACAAGAAAATAAAGAAAGAGGAGGGTTTGGCATATCAGATTGGGAGTTCTATCATCAAGCAGCAACACTCACCTGGGTAACAGAATGGATAAATTTAAGAAGATTGTTAACATTAGAGGGCCACGACTTACATCTAGGATGACACCCATTTTTGTGGTACGGGAAACAAGTAGCACACCAATATTTTCAAAGACGTTTTATAAGGCAGGCATTATTGGAGACATGGAATAAATTCAAACAGCAGAACTACAAGAAGGTTCCGAGTTGGTTATCCAAATTAGAAGCATTAGTGCACCCAAATCTTATCAATCAAGGAAAATATGTCACCTATAAGGATATAATAAATGAAGAAGGGGATATGAAATTGAGGCAAGAATTAGAACAAGGGGTAGAATTGGAGTGGTGGTCCTATTTACAAATCCAGTCACGTTACTTGAAAGACATGAAAGAGCGGGGTATTAATAGGGAATCAATGACAATAGATATCTTTTTGGGGACGAATGATAAATTGGTAAAGAAAATTTATAAATTCTTATTGGATTATAAAATGGAGGAAGAGCAGGTCAATGAAACGATGGTGGCATAGGCAATAAATTTTGGGTACAATATACAATTGGAAAAATGGCAAGAATTATGGGGGGAGAAGGAAGATAAAATTGGCAATACCGTATAAAGAAAATTTATATAAAATTTTCTACAGGTGGCACCTTCCGCCAGCGAGATTGGCAAAAATGTTTAGAAATTTATCACCAAAATGTTGGAAATGCAACCATGACTCAAGCACGTACTACCATATGTGGTAGTCATGTAAAAAAGCAAAGGAGTATTGCCGGAAAATTCATTTATGGCTGGTAGAATTAATTAGTAGAAGAAATAGAATACAAACCAGAACTTTTCCTATTGGGAATTATAAATGGGAAATATAGTAAAGGGGTAATTTACTTAATGATACATATTATAACAGCAGCAAGAATGATCTTTGCCCAAAATTAGAAAAATAAAGAAATCCTTGGAGAAGATGAAGTGATTAAATTTTTTTTGATATGCATCGAAATGGATAGATTAATGCTGGAATTGAAAAATAAAGACGAGTCAGAATACTACGACATATGGAACAAATTTTATCAATGGTTGGAATGTAAAGGAGGGACGAAAAATATGAACTGACCAGAATTCATAGAATGGAGAATTAAGATTATGTATGTAATTATAATAGAATGAAAGTACATAAGACAAAGGTATAAGTAATATAGAGGAATGATGTCTTTATATATGTAAATACTGAATAGACCAAATTTATATAAGTAGTAAGCAGGGGTGAAATCCAGCAGGTTCTGACAGATTCTGGAGAGCTGGTAGCAGAAATTTTGAGTAGTTTGGAGAGTAGTGGAAATTTTGAGTAGTTCGGAGAACTGGCAAATACCACCTCTGGCTGGTCACAGAGTGGGGTGGGAATGGAGATTTTGCAATATCCTTCCCCAAGGAGTGGGGAGGGAATGGGGATTTTGCAGTATCCTTCCCCTGCCATGCCCACCAAGCATTACCACGCCCACAGAACCGGTAGTAAAAATATTTGAGTTTCACCACTGGTAGTAAACTATCTATGATATTTATTTTTTATTTTAGTATGTATGGCAAAGATAATGCCAGGACGGTTATACCGTGTCCAATGTTTTACTATGTGTTTAATAAAATTTTTCAAAAAAAAATCCCCAAAAGACAAAAAACCCCAAAGCAGCAATTTGGAGGTGAAGGTGTTTTGTTTGTGAATAGTCTTTTTTTTTATTAGGCACAAAATCTGTTGAGAGCAATTAAAGACTGGGGCTGCTTTCTGGCTCTAAGAACGTATTTCTTCATTTCTCCTTTAGGGAAATACAATATTTTACCTCTTTTAATATTCTCGAAAATATTTCATTCTCTCCAAGTGCGGGGCGGGGGGGGGGGCGGGGAAGGTTTCTCACAGCAGAAATAGAGACTAAAAATGTAACGGTAGATTGCACTCTGTAGGAAAAGGAGGAATCCTTCCAATATCTCAGGGGTTGCCACAAAAAAGAGGGAATCAAACTCTTGTCCAAAGCACCTGAGGGCAGAATAGGTGGAAACTGATCAAGGAGAGAAGCAACTTAGAACTCAGGAGAAATTTCTTGACACTTAGAACAATTAAGCAGTGGAATGAATTGCCTTCAAAAGTTGTGAATGCTCCAACACTGGAAATTTATAAGAAGATGTTGGATAACCATTGAAGTAGTGTAGGGTTTCCTACCTGGGCAGGGGGTTGGACTAGAAGACCTCCAAGGTCCCTTCCAACTCTTATTCTATTCTATTCTAAAAAAACAAGGACAGTTCTTGAGTGTCACCACATGAATACAGACAAGAGAGAGAGAGGACAAACTGGTTTGGAGGAACCCCCAACTGTTATTGTTTACATATCTATTTAATAATATATAACGAATTATATAATTATACAGTATATAAATAAATTTTCTGGCGGGAAGTAACGAGAAATCCCAGGGGCTCAGAACCAGCAATCAAAGGAGATTCCATTCAAAGGCGCTTTGCTCTATTCCAGCCCTGCTCGACCTTCACCGGCTCTATTCCCTTCACCCGCGGATCCCCTCCCACTCGCCTACCAAATGCTTCGACACCGCGTGACTTCACCTGTCAGAGTCGAGAAGAACAGGGCATGCGCAGAAGACCTTTGCCAGGTCCGGATGTTGAACAGAGACAGGAGAGGCGGGACTTGCCTTATGAGATGCTCTAGTCTAGTCAAGAGCAATAAAGCATGAGGGATAATAGACTTGTGCCTCTCTAGGAAGCAATCATATCTCACCGAGTCTGTGGGAGGCCTGTCGAGCGCGGGAAGTTTTGGCGGGAGCGACTCGCAACTGCTCTTCTCGGCCTCGGAAGCCCTGAGGGAACGGAGCCCCCCTTCTCCCCACCCCCGAACCCGGGAAAGGGGCGGGGCGACTGGGTGGGGGAGGGTCGGCCGTGACCGAAGGCAACCTCTGAGATAGTTTCCCCCCGTCGGGGCTGCGCTGAAGCCGGAGACGGAATGGAGGCTCGGAGGTCTCCCCTTCAGGCGGGGAGCGGCCTCCCAGAGGAGCTCCGCAGCCCCGAGGTTGAGCGCTGGCGCTTCCGCAGCTGCGTCTCCCGGGAGGCGGAGGGGCCCCGGGCGCTTTGCAGCCGCCTGTACGGGCTGTGCCGGGGGTGGCTGCGGCCCGAGCGGAGCAGCAAAGCCGAGATGCTGGACCTGGTGGTGCTGGAGCAGCTGCTGGCCCTGCTGCCCCCGGAGCTGGCGGGCTGGCTGAGGGAGTGCGCGGTGGAGAGCTGCGCCCAGGCGGTGGCCCTGGCCGAAGGCTGCCTCCTCGGCCCCGCAGCCGCCCAGGAAAAGCTGGCAAAGGGCCGGCAGGTGAGGCTCTTTCATCCTCTTCGACGCCTCTTGTTTCTCTTCCTTGCAGATAATCACAGAGAAAATAGATCCAGACAACACGTGTTGGGATTATAAATAAAAAGTTATGTGGGAATAACCCTTGTAGGATGGTGTTCCCACATTCTATTCTCCCACATAGTTTGTCATGGACTGGACAGCCATCATGCAAAAGATAACCTCAATTCCCCCAGGGAGCTGGAGGGGAGAAATGTCATAAAAATCCTTCCTAGTAGTACAGTGAGTACAATGAGAGAACAAAAAAATATTTTTTTAATGTGGTCTTACAGACAGAGCTAATATTCTTTGTCAGGCTTCTTGTCTACCTGGAAGGGCTGATAAATGTTTTCTCCAGTCAGGATTCCCAAACCAGGGACTCAGACTGATTCCAAGAGGGCTCCTCTATCTAGTAATAGCTATTGTTCAAAATCCCACCCACCCACAAAAACATGTTTCTATTTCAAATTGGATCACTTCTTTAGTCCTTTTAGAAATTTTAATCATTAGCTTTGAACTGAATGTGAATGTAACGTCTTAAGTGAATTCCCTTTCTCATGTTAACCAAGGCAATGTTGGAAACTTTTATTTGTCCCAAAATTGCTTTTTCCAGAGACAACTGGAAGATGTTTCAGAAAGATTGAATGATTATTAGATACTTAACACAAGTCTTGTATTTCCTGGATTTTCAGTATAGAGCTGGAAGGGACTTGAGGGTCTTCTCTAACCCCCTTATTCAGGCAGAAAACCATGTGTATATACCATTTCAGACAAATAGCTGTCCAGTCTCTCAACATCTTTGTAACATTACCAGCCCGGAATGCAGTATTCCAGGTTAGTATTAGTATTAATACTAATATTTAGTATTAGTATTAATATAATACTTAGTATTCCTTACTAAGGTTTTATAAAGCGGTACTAATAGTTTACGTAATTTTGATTCTATGCTTCTGTTTATACAACCAAGGATTGTATTAGCTGTTTTAGCTGCTGCCGCACACTGCTAGCTTATATTTAAGTGATCATCCACTAGGACTCTACAGTCCCTGTGACAGTTACTGATTTTTTGAGGCAGGTTTGCCTAATCAGTACTTGTACCTATGGTTTTTCCTGCCTTGCTTTAACTTTCATTTTCTGGATAGGGCCCATTGTTCAAGTCTGACAAGATCCTTTTCTTTCCTGAACTTATCTTCTGGGGAGTTGGCTGTTCCTGCCAGCTTAATGTCATCTACAAATTTGATGTGTTCCCCTTCTATTCCCTCATCTAAATAATTTATGAAGATATTGAAGAGTACTGGGCCTAAGATGGATCTTTGTGATACTTCACTGTAGACTTTTCACTGCAGACAATTCTAAACACTTTCCATTATACATAGGATAGGATAAAGTTTGAAAAAAATGGTCCCTGAAGAAAAAACAAAGCTTGCAGAGAAAAACAAAAAAGTATACTTTATTCATATTCCTTTACCATGATCATGGCGCTCCCTCTACCAGATGATAGAAGGAGAGAGCCATTATATAGACATAAATGCATTCACAAAGAAAGAAAGGCATTATTGTCAAGTAAAGGGGAGGAAATAAATAAACAGCTCCTGTTGTGAAGGAAAATAGGAAATAAAAAAGAAGGAACTCACAAAAGTGGCAGGCATTTATCCAGAAATAACAGCAACCCACAGAGTAGGAGTTCTCAAATACTCTCATTTTGATTTGAATTGGAAAAATACATGTGGAGAGGAAAAACGTAAGTGAACTAACATGGTTAAAGTCATTTGAAAGTGGATCATAAATCAGGCTTTTTTTCAGTTGCAGGAGCCATTCATTGAGGAGATCTCAGCAGAGCTCCAGGGAAAAGGAGATCCATCCAATGATTCTAAAGAGCTTCTTTTCAGGAGGATCCAATTGGGGCCACCTTGCCAGGTAAGTGTAGATTTCTTCTGAAAAGTTTAAACGCCTTCATTCATGAGCTGCTTTGAAAACGAACTGCTGAGTCTGTGAATTTGAACCTGGTGTCCCCATAGAATAACCCAGCCTTACTGATTCAACCTTGAAGATGATCCTAGGAATGCAAACAAAGGACAATTCTCAAGAGACTGGTACTAGAAATGTAATTTATATGTTGGAACAGTTTAACAGTTTTGAAAAGACTTGGGGAAAGCAGTTAAAAAATTAAAGACGTGAAGCGAAACAATACCAATTGAACAAAAACTGCTTCAGAGATAGCCCAATATATCCATTTAAAAATAAATTACCCATGGATAAATTTCTCATATAAAAACCTGTAAGTCAAAGCTGAGAAGCTTTAATGGTCAGACTGTTGGTCAAGTGACTTGATATTTTGAAATAGGTAAGATAAACAATTCTTAATAGGCATGTCCTGTTTTCTTAAGAAATTTGTATTTTACTGGGTTTACTGAGTTAAGCCAGAGGATTCCTCTAAGCAAAATCTTTTTGGTGAATTCTCCCAGGCCATGGGAGGGGGGTCCCCAAGCAGTGTCATTCTACAATTTGGATGCATCTAAACTATATTTTGTGCCTTTAAAAAAGTAGCATGGAGGAGGTGGAGGGGGGCATATCACCCTTAAGGACTACCTCTGCCTGCAGGATGTTTGTCTGTCCTAGAAGGAAATGTCCATTTTGTCTCTTGCAAAGCTATCTTTTCTCTTTGGGAATTAATAAAGAATGTATTAGAGAGGACTGTCATATGGGGAAGAATTTTTTTTTGTTTCTAGGACTCTGATCTCTTTGAGGAGGTGGCTGTTGACTTCACAGAGGAGGAGTGGGCACTGCTGGATTCTAGCCAGAAGGCCTTGTGCAGAGAAGTCATGCTGGAGGTTACTATGAATATGGCTGCTCTGGGTAAGGATCCTCTTTGCTCTGGATTCTGTTGATTTGGAAAAGGTGTTTTGAATGGGAATTAAACAGGGAAGATTCATGCACTCAATTGCATAATTGAGGTGGTGAGAACTCTAATGACTATCACCTTTAAAATCTTTCCTAAACTCAGGAAAATCAGGATCACAATGGATAGTATAGATAATGTCCACTGGACACCCACAAGTGCAAAAGTCCCATACACTTCCCTTTGGTTTCCTTTTAACTGCCAGAGCCTCTAGATCATAAAGCAGCTGAGTCACTTCATGGGCAATTTTGCCCAAGTTTGTCCTCACAGCCACTCTTCTAGAAAACTACAAGGGCCTTGGCAAAAATGCTCACTATAGTATAACATTGTGAAAGGCTTTAGATGGAAATGCCTGAGCAGATTGATCTAACAACAAAAGGCCTTAATATGGTTCTGGGCTGAAAAATCTCTTGGATATCATTAAGAATATCATTGATATCAATTTCAACCCAACATCGCCTAGTTTGACAAATTGCTGGTACCAAACCTGATACTCAAATGGGCATATTTTTGAGTGGGAGACACCCCCTTTCGCCATCATTTTAAATTCTAATGAGAATTTGTGGGGGTTTTTTTCCCAACCAGGTGATGGTGATGGGCTGGAGAATGAGAAGCATCTGAGGTTATTTAAACTACAAAGGGCAGTGTCTTCAAAGAGCCAAAGCGACTTCTGTACGAGACATAATATCATTCCCCATCAGAGGAGCCACTCAAGCGAAAAAACAAATAGTTGTGTGGAGCTTGGAAAGAGATTCTCTGAAAATAGTGATATTACTTGCCATCAAAGGATTGACACAGAGGACAGACGATATAAATGCCTGGAGTGTGAAAAGAGCTTTATTGACAAATTGCGCCTTACTTTCCACCTAAGGATGCACATGGCGGAAAGACCGTATAAATGCATGGAGTGTGGAAAAAGCTTTCGTCAGAACTCAGAACTTATTTCTCATCAGAGAATCCACACTGGGGAGAGACCATATAAATGCTTGGAGTGTGGAAAAAGCTTCACTCATAAAACAAATCTTAATGTTCATGAAAGGATTCATACTGGGGAGAGACCTTATAAATGTATACAATGTGGAAAAGCGTTTACTCAGAAAAATAGTCTTATTAGTCATGAAAGAATCCATACAGGGGAGAAACCATTTCAATGTACAGAATGTGGAAAGTGTTTTGCTCAGAAAGGACAACTTAAATTCCATGAGAAAATCCACAGGGCAGAAATGCTTGGAGTGTGGAAAAAGCTTTAACTTGAGCAAAGATCTTATTTGTCATGAAAGGACCCACACTGGGGAGCGACTATATAAGTGCATGGAATGTGGAAAGCAATGTACTTGGAAAAATTATCTTATTAATCATGAAAGAGACCATATAAATGCACAGAATGTGGAAAATGTTTTGCTCAAAGGGTTTAGCATTCCTGAGACGTGGTTTAGCATTTGTTCACTGAAGGTGGTAATCTTGGGTGAAAGGCCAGTTTTCTTACTTTGGCAATGAGATCTCAGGATAAAAGACATCTTAGGTTATGATCAAATTAGGAGGAATGTTGCACACTATTACATTTATTTTTTCCACTGCACTTTCACCTTTGTCTAGAGGCTACTCTGATCTGTGGTTTTGAACTGCTGAAGGCAGAATGTGTGAGGGGTGGTCATAATTTCCTTCCCACACATTCCAATAAAAATTCTCTAATTCAGCTCATTCTTTCTGTATATTGCAGATAACATTAAAACACTTCTAACTAAAAGTTAAACTTGACTTGGGACTTGAGGTGAGAAAGAATGAAGTATTCAAATTGCCTTTTAATGATAATTGCAATGTTTTCAAGGAGTGTGTTGAAGTACAAGTGGAGCAGGGGTGGATTTCACTTACCTTTGCTACCGGTTCGCTTCTGCACATGCGCAGATCGTATTTGATGGCGGGTGGGCAGAGCATCCCACCACTGCTACTACTGTGTATCGTATTTGATGGCGGGTGGGTAGCAACCCCCCACTGAAGTGGAGGAAAAAAGTAAGATAAGCGAACTAACATGGTTATAGACATTTGAAAGTGGATCGTAAAATAGGCTGTCATTTCATTTGGTAGTCATGGAGATTTCAACAGAGCTCCCCCAGAGGTGAAGGTGTTTTGTTTGTGAATAGTCTTAATGGGCACAAAATCTGCTGGGAGCTATTAAGGAAGGGGCTGCTTTCTGTCTCTAAGAACATGTTTCTTCATTTCTCCTTTGGGGAAATATATTTTACCTCTTAATATTCATCAAAATATTTCATTCTCTAGAAGGGGAGGAGCTTCCACAGAAGAAATAGGAACTAAAACGTAATGGCAGATGACACTGTAGAAAAAGGAGAGTTCCTTCTTTTGAGTGTCACCACATGAATACAGACAACAGGACAAACTGGTTTGTAGGAATCCCCAAAAACAGTTATTGCTTGCATATTTAATAATATATAATATTTATATAATTATATAGCATATAAACAAATTTAACTAGTGGGAAGTAAAGGGAAACCTCAGATCTTCAGAACCAGTGCAGAGAAGAGCAACCAAGATGATTAGGGGACTGGCGGCTAAAACATACAATGAACACTTGCAGAAACTAGGCATGGCTAGTATAGTGAACAGGAGGACCAGGGGAGACATGATAGCAGTCTTCCAGTATCTCAGGGGCTGCCACAGGGAGGAGGGGGTCGAACTATTTCCCAAAGCATCCGAAGGCCAGACAAGGAATAATGGGTGGAAACTGATCAAGGAGAGATTCAACCTAGAAATCAATTTTCTGACACAACAATCAACCAATGGAACGGAAGTTGTGGGAGCTTCATCACTGGAGGCTTTCAAGAAGAGACCAGATTTGCCATCTGTCAGAAATGGTGTAGGGTCTCCTGCTTGGGCAGGGGGTTGGACTAGATGACCAACAAGGTCCCTTGGTCCAACTCTTAATCCGTTAGATTCATTCAATTCAAAGGAGCTTTGCTCTATTCCAGCCCTGCTCTACCTCCAGGCCTATTCCCTACACCCGCGCATCGCCCCCCCCCCGTCCCCTACCAAATACTCCGCCACTACGTCACTTCGGCTGACTTTTGAGCGTCTACAAAGAACAGGGCATGCGCAGAAGGCCCAGAGGTTGGACAGAAGTGAGACGCTCTAGTCAAGAGCAATAAAGCATGAGGGATAATAGACTTGTGCCTCTCTAGGAAGCAATCATACCTCACCGAGTCTGCGGGAGGCCTGTCGAGCGCGGGAAGTTTTGGCGGGAGCGACTTGCAGCTGCTCTCCTCAGCCTGAGAGAACGGAGCCTCCTTCTCTCCCCTGAAACCGGGAAAGGGGCGGGGAGAGTGGGTGGGGAAGGGTCGGCCGTGAGCGAAGGCGGCCTCCGAGAGAGTTTCCCCCCGTTCGGGCTGCTCTGAAGCCGGAGACCGAATGGAGGCCCAGGGGTCCGGCGAGGAACCCCGCAGCCCCGAGACCGAGCGCTGGCGCTTCCGCAGCTGCGTCTCCCGGGAGGCGGAGGGGCCCCGGGCGCTTTGCAGCCGCCTGTACGGGCTGTGCCGGGGGTGGCTGCGGCCCGAGCGGAGCAGCAAAGCCGAGATGCTGGACCTGGTGGTGCTGGAGCAGCTGCTGGCCCTGCTGCCCCCGGAGCTGGCGGGCTGGCTGAGGGAGTGCGGGGCGGAGAGCTGCGCCCAGGCGGTGGCCCTGGCCGAAGGCTGCCTCCTCGGCCCCGCAGCCGCCCCGGAGCCCGGAAAGGGGCGGCAGGTGAGACAAGTACACCGTGGGACGCTGATCGATTTCGCAGCCTTTGTAAGAAATCGCAGCCATGAAGAAGTCGAAAGATTTTTAGTAATTCCTAATATTGTGGAACTCATTGCAACTTGAGACAAGTGCTTCTGTTTCACAGTGTAAAAATTCTGTGGGATGCTGACATATGTAGCAGACTTCGTAGGAAATCAAGGACATTAAGAAGAGATTAGGGCAAACATCTGGTTAGCCATCATGACAGAAATGGCTGCAGTTGAGGCAACCTGCCGAGACCTTTTTTACCATTTTTTCACTGAAAGTGTTAATTTTGGAATAAAGGCCCATTTACTTATTTCACCAAACAGATCTCAGGATAAAAGTGATCCCAGGTTATGGTCAGATTAAAAGAAATGCTGCACACTATTACATTAGTTGTTTCCCATTGCTCTTTGATCCTTGCCTAGACTAGAGCCTATTCTGATATGTGTTTTAGAATTGTAGAAAGCAGAATGTGTGAAGAATGGACGGGATTTTCTTCCCAGACATTCCAATAGACATTCTCTGGCTCAGTTCTTCCTTTCTGTATTTTCAAAATTATCTTTAAAAGATTTGTAACTATATAAGTTAAACCTGATTAACCTAAGGTGGGAAAGAATGAAGTATTGAAATTGCTTTTTAATGACAATTGTGTTTTCAAGGAGTACATTTTACTCTCAAAAGCATCCCTGTGTTCATCCCGAAGCCTTTTTCTAAACAGCCAGGCTGGTGTGGTCCTGCACTACAAGAGGCACAGAGAAGCTTCCAAAAAAGGAAGGGGAGAATGATCCTATCCCTCAGTAAAGGTCACTAAATCTAAAGGAAAATACTGTACTCCTGAAACAAGAAGATAGAACAGGCATAAGTACATCCACAAACAGAGAAAGGACACACCTGTCAAATGAAGAGGAGGAAATGAAGTAACAGTTCCTGATTGGAATAAAAAAACAAAAAATCAAGTGTTTCACAAAAGTGGCTGGCATTTATCAAGAAATAACAGCCACCCACAGAACAAGACTTCCCAAGTTCTCTCACTTTGACAGGTTGGGGAAGTATAAGTAGACAGGGTAAATGTAAGGCAAGGGAATTAGCACCTTTATCATCTTGTGAAAGTGGATGATAAACAAGGCTGTTCTTTCAGTTGCAGGAGCCATTTGTGGGTGAGATCTCAGCAGAGCTTCATGGAAGAGGGGATCCATCCAGTCCTAAAGAGGTTGCTTTCTCAAGGATCCAAGTAGGGCCAACTTGCCAGGTAAGTGTAATTTTCTTGTGAGAAGTTTAAACTTTTGTTTATGAGCTACTTCGAAAACCAAATGCTGAGTCTGTGCATTTGAACCTGGTCTCCCCATAGAATGATTCAGTGAGTCCCATTGATTCAACCTTCAGAACTGTTCTCTGGATGCCCAGGAAGGACAATTCAGAAGAGTCTTGTATTAAGAAATATAATTGATATATTGGAATATTTTTCAAAAGACTTTGGACAACAAGTTTAAAAAAATAAAACAATAGCAATTGTAAAAAAAAATGTTCCAGAAATAGGCCAACATATCCACTTAAAAAAGACTCATGAAGGACAGGTTGTCTGTAAATACCCCTAAATCAGTGCTAACTGGTTGTATCAATAAGACTGTTGGTCAATTGATCTGAGATTTCAAGGCTCATTTCCAACATTTTGAAATAGCCCGCATAAGAAATTCCTAGTACGTTTGTCCTGTTTTCTAAGACGTGTTATTTTGTTGAGCCAAAGAGACGTGGCCAGGGGATTCCTCTCCCCAAAACCTCCTTGGTGAATTATTCTAGGCCAGTGGGCATGTGTCTCTGTGTGTTGCCATACTACAATTTGGATGCATCTAAGCCATGTTTTCTGCCTTTACAACAGGCTTCCCAGCCCTATATGGACCTGCAGAACCTATGCCTGTCCTGTTGGAAATGTCCAACTGGTCTTGTAAAGTTCTGTTTTTTCTTTTGGAAGTAAGGGGGAAAAACATAAAGGATTGTCTTCTGGAAAAGATTTTCTTTTTCTTTTTAGGACTCTGATCCCTTTGAGGAAGTGGCTGTGGACTTTACAGAAGAAGAGTGGTCTCTGCTGGATTCTGGCCAGAAGGCCTTGTGCAGGGAAGTCATGCTGGAGCTTTTCAAGAATATGGCTGCTCTGTGTAAGGATCCTCTTTGCTCTGACTTCTGTTCATTGGGAAAGGTGTTTTAAATGGGAGGTAAACAAAGAAGATACCTCCATTCAATTACTTAAGGTGGTCAAAACTCTACCTGACCCCTGCCTGATACCACCTTTCTAACCTTTCCTAATCTCAGGAAAATCGGGGTCAGAATGTTTACTGTGTAGCTAATATCTAGTGGAGGAGCCATGCTGCAAAGAGCCTCATACATGTTTCTTTGATTCCCTTCAATCACCGGGCCCCCCATAGAACACAAACCAACAGTGACACTTCATGGGCAGTTTTGTCCAAGGTTGTCACCATAGCCACTCTTCTAGAACACAAGGCCTTGGCAGAAATGCTCACTTGAGGGACTTGGGAAAGTCCCTCAATGTTCCATGGAAATCCCTTGTTATCAACAGCAAAATCTTAATCTGGTTCAGGGCTGTAAAATTCCTTGTATACCATTACAGTCACGTGGATAACAATTTACATGCAATATCTCCTAGCTTGACTCACAGCTGGTGCCTAGCCAGATAATAAGATAGGCATATTTTTTATTTGGGGAGACAACCCCCCCTCCCCCCACCCCTTTGACATAATTGTAAAATTCTAATGATAATTTCTGTTTGTTCTTTTTTCCAAGCAGGTGATGGCCTGGTGAATGAGGATGAAAAACAGCTGAGTGTACTGACATTGCAAAGAGCAGTGTCTGCAAAGAGTCATTCCTTCTCTTTTATTTTATCTAAAATACTGAATAGAAAATACAAACCACATACTTTTGCAAAATATGAGAGGAATTTCCCTCTAAGCAAAAAGATGAAACTATGCATGCAGTGTGGAAAGAGCTTCAGTACCAAAAGTAATCATTGCCATTGGAGGATCCACACAAGTGAGAGGCCATATAAATATCCAGAATATGGAAAAAGCTTTTGTCAGAAAACAGAGGTTATTTGTCAAAAAAAGATCCACACAGGAGAGAGACCATATAAATGCATGGAGTATGGAAAGAGATTTATTGACAATTGTCACCTTACTTTCCATCAATGGATACACACCGGGGGAAAATTGTATAAATGCATGGAGTGTGGAAAAAGCTTTCGTTGGAACTCAGAACTTATTCGTCATAAGCGGATCCACACTGGGGACAGACCATATAAATGCATAGAGTGTGGAAAGCACTTTACTCAGAAAAGACATCTTATTGTTCATGAAAGGATCCACACCGGGGAGAGACCATACAACTGCATGGACTGTGCAAAGCAATTTACACAAAAAGGTCATCTCATATATCATGAAAGAATCCATACAGGGGAGAAACCATATAAATGCACAGAGTGTGGAAAAAGCTTTGCTCAAAAAGCACAACTTAATACTCATAAAAGAATCCACATAGGGGAGAGACTATTTAAATGCTTGGACTGTGGAAAAAGCTTTAATTGGATTAGAGGTCTAATTCATCATGAAAGAACCCACACTGGGGAGAGACCATATAAATGCACAGAGTGTGGAAAAAGCTTTGCTCAAAAAGCATATCTTAATGCTCATAAAAGGATCCACACAGGGAAGAGACCATATAAATGCCTGGAATGTGGAAAGAGCTTTTTTGACAGTGGTGACCTTACTCGACATCAAATGATCCATACAGCAGACAAACCATATAAATGCATGGAGTGTGGAAAGAGCTTTATTGACAAGTGGCGCCTTACTATCCACCAAAGAATTCACACGGGGGAAAGACCGTATAAATGCATGGAGTGTGGAAAAAGCTTTTGTCGGAATGCAGAATTTATTCATCATAAGAGAATCCACACTGGGGAGAGACCATATAAATGCATGGAGTGTGAAAAAAGCTTTGCTTGGAAAGGACATCTTAATACTCATAAAAGGATCCATACAGGGGAGAAGCCATATAAATGCTTAGAGTGTGGAAAGACTTTTGTTCGGAAAGGATGTCTTACTGGTCATGAAAGAATTCACACAGGGGAGAAACCATATAAATGCACAGTGTGTGGAAAGTTGTTTGCTAGGTCAGGACACCTTTATTCTCATAAAAGGACCCACACAGGGGAAAGACCATATAAATGCTTGGAGTGTGGAAAGAGCTTTAACTGGAACAGAGATCTTATTCGTCATGAAAGAACCCACACTGGAGAGAGACCATACAGGTGTATGGAGTGTGGAAAGCAGTTTACTCAGAAAAGTGGCCTTATTAATCATGAGAGAACCCATACAGGTGAGAGACCATATAAATGCACAGAATGTGGAAAAGGCTTTACTCAAAGAGGACCACTTAATTCTCATAAAAGGATTCACGTGGGGGAGAGGCCATATAAATGTGTGTAGTGTGTAGAAAGCTTTAATAGGTTTACGCATGAAAGAAGGCACACATGGGAAAATCCATAGTGCATGGAGTGTGGAAATAATTTTACTGGGAAAGAACATCTTGTCATGAAAGGATCCATGGAGGAAGGAAGCCTTCTAAATGAACAAAGTGGAAAAGCATCCAGTAGAAACTTACTTACTTACTTACTTACTTACTTACTTACTTACTTACTTACTTACTTACTTACTTACTTATTTATTTATTTATTAAATTTTTATACCGCCCCCTCTCCCGAAGGACTCGGGGCGGTGAACAGCCAAAATTAAAAACACACAATGCAAATATTAAAATACATTAAAAAAAATTAAATTATCTTTGGCTTCTCCAATTTAAAACCCCTTGCCCATAAAATTCCCCAATTAAAAGATTTTTAACCCAGCCCGGCTGAACATTAGAGGATCCACACGGGAGAAATCATGTAAATGCAGGGAGTGTGGAAACAGCTTTACTTTAGAAGGACGACATAATGCCCATAGAAGAAACCATAGAAATACATGGAGGTGCTTCAGAATAAGCTTTTTGGTCCGAAATACTGGAATTCATTCAGAATAGCCAGGTGTTCCCTTTCCTAGTTTGACCTGCATTTTTCTTCTCCCTGTGGAAAGAGGGATGGAAAACGGGAGTTTTCAGTTTCCTCCCTATTGCTGATCACCATCTTATCTTTTCCAATTGGAGGACTGATGGCTTCCTTGACTTCCCTCTTAATTTACCTAAAGACTGTATGTCAGGGGTGTCAAGCCCGTGGCCCGGATGCATCACATGCTGACCCCACCCCCTCCAGATTTAGTGAAGGGGAAAAAAGTCCTGATACATCACATGATGCCGCCATAAGGACATGAGTTTAACACACCTGCTCTATATGAAACGGAAATGGTATACATATATCAAATTTGGAAAGCAATTCAATCTGCAGAGTTGTTTTAATTTGCAAAACATAATGCTCATTTTCTTTTCATTCCTCTTAAGGTTTAGCTAAAGAAATCTTGCCATTTTTCTTTCTTAGAGGAGTGAGTTCAGCCTTAGAGAGGTAGCCTGTTTTTGAGCAGTTGCCAAAGCAATTATTCCTCACCACATGAGCTTCCCAACACATTTTGGGGAGGAAACTCCTTTTATAGTCTTGGAACCTTATTAAGAAACTTTTTATTATTATTCAATTTTTTAAATTTTATGTTATTTATACATATCAATGTGTAAATGGTGATATCTGAGTACCATACCTTTTAATAAAAGATATATTATTACTGACAATTATTACATTTCATTTTCATTGTTCATTGCACATATCCTTTGCTGCCACTCTTCAGTTCTAAACCTTCTTACTCTCATATATCTTAATATATTGGTACATATATACTATAGTTCTGCTCTTATTTCTATCTCTATTTTAACTTTTTCCCCCTCCTGTCACTATAATATTCAAAGACATAATAACATTTCTGTTCCCTATTACCACACATATTTATCTTGTAGTACACTTTCATTATCTAATCACCCATTATTTAATTCTACCAAATTTTTATGCTTATTTGATACTATCATTCAAATTCTAGTTTTCCAATTAAAACTTGATTCTTCTTCATACCTCTGTTCATGTTCTTTCCAATCCTCCAATCTGTAAAATTCTACTAATTAATGCACATGTTTACGTTAACATATTATTTCATTATCTGATCACCTATTGTTTAATTGTAGCATTTCACTATTAACTATATTTTTATACATATTTAACTAACTACATACAAAGTAATTATGCAATTATTATAATTCTAATATTAATATTCATTATTGAAATACTTTCATATTTCATGAAAGTATCTTTTACTTTACTTTCCCTTTTTCCTTTATCCATCATCTGCCTGCCTGCATCCAAATTTAAAAATTTTTTGGGTTGCCTACCATATTCTTTTTTTCAGTCTTTTATTTCATCTATGTTTGAGTCTATTTTGACTATGCATTCTAGCTTTTTCCTCCCCTCTCTACTTTTCCCCACTATCTTGTTTTAAAGCTGTCTGTTCTAAGAGCAGAATACGACACTTTTAAGGTATTTTCCTCCTGTTTTAATTCCTTAATCACTATTGATTTTAATAATGTCTCATCTTCTTCTTGCTGGTTTCTTAGTTCTGCTTTCTCCTCCATTTCTTCTGGTAGCTCCATTCTTTCCTCATTGTCCTGGTTTTTACACATTGTTCCTTGTATCGCATTTTCCAATTTTTGGTCTATGCAATCAAATATTTCCATCATCTCCTTATGTTGTTCCTTTATAAAATCCTTAATGTTTTGGTACATCAGCTCCATTCCATTGTCTGTACTCACTTCCATCTTGTGTTATGTCTTTGCTTAATAGATCTCCTTTTAGGTCAATTGTCCAGAAATTGTTGAGCTTCCAAATCATAATTATAAGTGTCTCATCAACAAGCAGTCAATCCAATTTAAATGAACGAAGGAGTTGTCCACCCTTCTTCAATCACTTTTATATATTCAGAAATGTTCAGGGATCTCTTAGCCAAGATTCTTATTTAATGACTAAATCTCCAATGGTTTTAAAGTAAATGCTTGTAATCGAGCAAATATAAATGGTTATTCCCGAAATTTAGCAGCAGATGGTGCTCTAGCTTCAACTTGCTACAGCCTCTGTTAACAAATCTGATTTTAGTTATTTTAAATTATAAACCTAATAAATGGGCAGTATTAATAAAAAAAGAATTTAAGATCTAATTCCAGCATTTTAAACTGCCTTTTCAATATAGCGTCTTTTTACTTTGAGAGTTCAATTTTCTTTTTATTATTTTTTAAAATATTTTTCTCTTCTTAATTTCTCTGGTATTTTTTCAAAGTGCTCATTCGCTGCTAGCAAATAGTTCTAAACATATATTCCACTTGGATTTCTTGGGGTCAGATTGCAAATAGAAGTATTCTTTCACCCAGTTCACACACCACTCACTTTCTCCGCTCCAGCACTGTCTTAGGTATTTAGAGTGCCCCTAGCTTCATGGCAGACATCTTTGCTGCCACTGCTCCCCATCTTCAGATGAGGGGGTTTTCCAAGTCAGGGAGGAGAAATGAGGCTCTCCTCAACCTGCAAGGCGGTCCCCCTTTACTTTGCCACTCCTCCAAGGTGGCTATGGCTCCTAATGGAGCCCTCCGATGAGATCGGGACCACGGAGCACACAGACCACTGGAAGTACAACCCTAACCCTAACCCTTTTTAAAAAAGAAACTTTTATTAATAAAAGTTTTCTCCCCTTTTTTCAGTAAGGTCAAAGAATTTGAAAAAAATACAGTACATTTTGTAAATAAAAATGGTGACAGTTCACAAAGATTACTAGAGACAAATAGAAATATAAATTATTTCCATAGCAAGGAAAATAAAGAAGGAATGGTTAAATTGATTATTTTATTCAAAGGGGAAAATATGTTCTTATTTGAATATCACTTGGAATTTGTGTTCGTGAAGAAAAAATATGAAGCTGACCTTGGTGTTGATTAGAAATATTTGTTGCTGTAGGAATGGCTACTTATATATTAATGTGTAAAAGCAAAAAGTTGAGGTTGGAGTGTATTTATCTTGTACTGTGCTAAGAAGAGTTGGAAGTCAATGCTCCCTTTTTCTTTTTCTCTTTCCCCTTATACAGTACCTCACACCCCCTTTTCCCCCGCTGCTCCCCCCCTTAATTTTCTATTTCCTTTTCTTCTTTGTATTTTATATAATAAAAATAAAAAATTGGTGAAAAAACTTTTTATTAGTTGTAATTCCCCATCAGCCTTTCCATTTATTCTTTTTTCCACTGTTAAGCAATTTAAATTTAGTAGCTGGAGCAGTGGGGTTGTGCAGTGAGCCAGAACACGCAGTTGTAGTTGATTGTTTGAAGAGTACTGGCTCCTATGTGAGGCAATTGCAGTCAAGTGGTTGCTGTAGGTGTTGAGGGGGGAGTTTCCCTCCCTCTTTTTTCTTCCATGTATCCAGCGCTCTGCAATTTACCTGGTGATGCGCCTCTACCTGACTATCTAGCCTGTTGTATATATTGATATTTTTTAAAAAAATTGATTTATATGCCGCCCTTCTCCGGGGACTCAGGGCAGATTACAATGCATTAAGCAATAGCCTTCATACTTTTGTATATTTATACAGCTTATTGCCCCCACAAACTGGGTCCTCAGTTTACCTATCTTAGAAAGGATGGAAGGCTGAGTCAACCTTGAGCCTGGTGAGATTCGAACTTAAAATAATTGCAGACAGCTGGTGTTAATCACAATGCTATCAGTCTGCTGAGCCACCAGGCCCTAGTTGTATAGGTGTAGAATATATAGATGTAGAATATGTTTATATAAAACTACAAGTATGTGTCAGCATCTATGATTTCATTTGGACACCTGCCACGCAATTCCCTGACATTATCTGACCCAGTTTTCACGGCCTATGAGCCCCATATTTCATTCCATGTAGGAGATAAACTCACTTCAGGAGGTAAATTTCTGAGGGTTTTTTATAGGTATTGCCACCTTTTGAAATCAGATCATCTTCAAGATTCAACCCGCAAGGAAGGATCAAGCAGAAAAATTGAACAAAAAGTTCAACATGACACAGATACAGAAAAAACAGAAAAAAGGGCATATTGCACTCTGTAGAAAAAGGAGATTTTAACAAATGAAAACAGACCAAAGAGGATAAACGAACTGGCCTGAAGGAATCCTCAGAGCATTTATTGTTGATATATCAATATTAAAATAAATGTACTGGCTGGACTACTACCCTCATTTGCAGCACCATCCATCAGTTCCTGAGAACACATCCTCATTTACAGGAGGGTTTTGGGAAAAAGAGAAATCCCAGGTACCAAGAAGCCTTTAAAAGCTCTGGATGTAGCGCAGAGAATGGGCGAGGCTACAGTTGCCTTAAGAGATGCTCTGTCCAGCTAAAATCAATAAATCAAGGGGCTTATAGAGTTTTGCCGCTCTAGGAAGCAACACACTCTGACGGAGCGTCTGAGAGGCCGGCAGGGTGTGCGAAATTTTGGCGGGAGCGATTTGCAGTCGCTCTTCTCAGCCTCAGAAACACTTTTTTTTGAAATAGTTTTTATTGAATATAAATATTAAAAAAGACATACGTAACATATACACAACCAACGTTTATACAACATATACACAAAAAGAGTATAATTTCTTCTTAAGCATTTTTTCAGAGTGACATTCTACAATTCTACTTATGAGGAAGCGGAGCCCCCGCTTCTCCACCCACCGAAACCAGGAAAGCGGAGTGGGTGGGAGAGGAATCTCCCCTCTGTTGGGGCTGCGCTAAAGCTGGAGACTGAATGGAGGCCCAGGGGTCTCCCCTTCAGGTGGGGAGCGGCCTCCCAGAGGGCTCCCGCAGCTCCGAGGCTGAGCGCTGGCGCTTCCACAGCTGTGGCTCCCAAGAGACCGAGGGGCCCAGGGCACTTTGCAGCCGCCTGTATGGGCTGTGCCAGGGGTGGCTGCGGCCCAAGCGGAGCAGCAAAGCCGAGATGCTGGACCTGGTGGTGCTGGAGCAGCTGCTGGCCCTGCTGCTCCCAGAGCTGGCAGGCTGGCTGAGGGAGTGCGGGGCGAAGAGTTGCGCCCAGGCAGTGGCCCTGTCCGAAGGCTGCCTCCTCGGCCCCGCAGCCGCCTCAGAGCCCAGAAAGGGGCGGCAGGTGAGGGAGTTTTCATCTTGGGACACTGATGTATTTTTCAGCCTCTAAGAAATTGCAGCCATGAACAAGTTAGAGCAGATTTTTCTGGATCTCCTAATATTTTGAATTTTTTTCCCTTTTCAGGCAAAAGCTTTTGTTTCACATTGGTGAAAAATTCCCTGGGAGATGTTGAAAAGTTATATATTTTTTTCTCCTAGATAAATCTTTTTGTTTTGTTCTGGAAGAAGCTGGAATCAAGGACAACTATATTACAGATGGTCCTTGATGTACAACAGTTCATTTAGTGACCGTTCATGTTATGTCCTTATATGGGCATCCCCGCCGGATTGGCTAGTCCACCGGCGGGAGATTTGAAGATCTGTCATTGGCCGGCTTGCCTGCCGACTCCCTTTATAAGGCGAGCCCGGCAGCACAGCTGGCTGTTCTGTTTCCATCTTAATAAAGTGGTGAACGGACCACTCGCTGCTCGCGTATTCTTTTCCCTGCGCCAATCTATCACTGGCGACGAAGGATCTCAAGAACCACAGTGAAGAACCTCGTGGCACAATCGCCACCCAGCCCGACTCAACAGAGCAAGTCACTGAGCTGGAGTCACTTAGAGCTGATAGCATGAGAACCATGGCAGCGCCACAATCTCACTGGCACCATTCAACCCTGATCAGGAGAAGTGGAAAGCCTATATGATTAGGTTCTGCCAATTCCTGACCGACAACGGCTATGAAGACCTGGAGGACAACCGCAAATGAGCCTTGTTCCTGGCACATTGCGATTGGCAGTCCTGGAGATGGCCATCGGCCTTGTGGCACCCCAGGACAGTGAGGCCATGGCATGGAGCGACCTCCAAGACGTTCGCCAGGAACACTATGCCCCAACTGGCACACCGATGGCGAACAGATTCACCTTCAGCCAACGGAGTCAGCAGGAGGGCGAAACATAAAGAACTTCGTGGCAGCACTACGGAAGTTGGCTGCCAACTGCGAGTTCGACCACGTGGACAACGCCATCCGAGATCGCATCGTCTTTGGGATGTGGGACATTTCCCTGCAGAGAAAGTTGCTGAGCAGGAGAAAGGTCTCGCTAAAAGACGTAGTTGAAGAGGCCACAGCTGCAGAAATATCAGAGGTGGCAGCGGCAGCGATGCGGAAAGCCAAGGCAGTCCACAGAATTAAGAAAGCTCCCCAGACCTCATCCGAGGAATCCACCATGGGATCCGAATCGGACAAGGAAATGGCGGTCCATAAAGTCTCCAGACCACCCAGACGTGAGACCACTCAAAATGGCAGTCGAGGGAGAGCTCTGCCAGCTGCAACGGTGACCACGTGAGAGCCAGATGCCGGTGGAGAGATGCGACCTGCCGCCGTTGCCAGCGGAAGGGCCACATCGCGGAGGCCTGCAGAGCTCCAGAACTAGTCTGGGAGAAAGCCAAGCTGGAAAACCGTGATCACCAGAGGACATCCAGACGGTCCTACCAACCAAGGCGCGAGGGAGACGGGTACCTGCGAAGCAGAGCGGTTCACCAAACCACCATTGCCCACACCAATGACCACAATGCCATGAAGTTCATTGTGGCGGTGCACGGGAAGGGACTCCATGTGCCATGGAAGTAGATTTGGGCTCAATCTACTCCATTATGGACTGGCAGCAGCTCAAAAAGTTGAAACCGCGAATTTCAAAGAGCCAACTGCAAGGCTCGTCGATTTCGGCGGAAACCCCATCGGTCCTGGGGAGAGCTTCACTGAGCATCAGCTACCACGGCTTCAAGGGCGACCTACCTATCACCATCGTCAAGGACAACCACCCGACCCTGCTGGAAGTGGAGTAGTTCGAGTCTCTAGGGCTCTCAATCAGAGGAATTCATCAAATTCGGCAGGATGAACTCGACAAGCTCCTCGGAGAGTTCAAGGACGTCTTCGATGGCAGCTTAGGTAAATTTTTGGGGAAACCCATCACTTTCAATTTAGGCACCTCAATCACTCCAATTTGGCTCAAGCCTCTCAGGGTTCCATTTGCACTTTGGCCTAAGGTAGACGCTCAGTTGGATAAACTGATTACCCAAGTCATATTGGAACCGATCGATCATGCTGCATGGGAGACCCCCATTGTGACCCCACTGAAGCATGATGGGTCCGTGCGCATCTGCGCCGACTATAAATGCACCATTAACCGGGCATTACAGCAGAGCGCATACCCAGTTCCAGTGTTGCAACATCTGTTGCATTCACTCGGGAGTGGGACCATATTCGCGAAACTGGACCTGGCCCAGGCTTACCAGCAACTGCCAGTCAACCAAAAAACTGCGGAGGCTCAGAATATTGTCATCCACCGGGGCGCATTTAAATGCAACCGCCTCCAATTTGGAGTCAGCGCAGCCCCTGGCATTTTTCAATCAATGATGGAGCGCCTCCTACAAGGCATTCCAGGGGTGGTGCCGTACCTTGATGATGTACTAATCTCCGGCACCTCCAGAGCTCAACTCTTGGAACAGCTTAGGCTCACCCTGAAGCGGTTCCAAGAGAAGGGCCTGCATGTGAGGAGAGACAAATGCATCATTGGGGTCCAGCAGGTCGAGTTCCTGGGCTATTTAATAGATAGCACTGGCATACACCCCACCAAATCTAAAGTTAAGGCAATTCACGAAGCTCCGGCTCCCAAAAACAAGCCAGAGCTTCAGGCTTTCTTAGGATTGCTAAATTTCTATAGCGTTTTCCTCAAACAGAAAGCCACGATTGCTGAGTCATTCCATCGCCTTCTGGGAAAAGCGGCCCCTTGGAAGTGGGGTAGAGCTGAGGAAACCGCATTCAAGAACATCAAGGGGCTCCTATCCTCGGACAGTGTGCTGATACAATATCACAAGACACTGCTGCTGGTATTGACCTGCGATGCATCTCCCTATGGGGTCGTGGCTGTCCTTAGCCACCGACTGCCCAACAACACAGAAGCCCCCATTGCCTTCTTCTCTAAAACTCTGGTGGCAGTGGAGCGCAATTACAGCCAGCTGGATAAGGAAGCCTTGGCCATAGTGGCTGGCATCAAGCATTTCCACGAATACCTCTACAGGAGAGC